AGCTACTCAGCATGATTCAGGGGCATGTCGTCAATTTCCCATATGATTGGCTCCTGACTGAAGAACAAAACGGCAACTGGGGATTCCAGGTGGATGGTGTTGCGCCGCTTCAAATCTAGTAAGTCTCCATCTATCGTTCCTGCACGATAGCCAGTCCAGTGCTAACATCCATTGCAGCAACTAGGTGTTATACACAGTTCAGAACGGTCTCATGGACCTGCTGGATAAAGCCTCTCTGTATGGCTGAACCATTACATGATGCGTCGATGCACAGGACGGAGTCAGGGAGGAGCATCTTGGCGTCGTGGGTACTTTCACTGTATTGATTCTATTTGTATGGCTTCAGCCCTTGTTTTTACAGGTATTGTACACATAGTTAAATTACAGCCTTTATTACACCTTTTCACTTACCCAAATAGCGCCTCTGCAGCCCGCCCGGATGACGCCGGTGAGTAACCAGTGCGGCTCCGCCTTCTTGGCGTCATGCTCGACGGCGTGGTCCAGGTGCTCCAGTTCTTCATCGCGAATCCGCCGCAGCGTCTTGATGAGCTCAGTGAACTCGGGGCCGACATCGTACCCTTCAGCTTCCCACTCTGTGACCATTTCGATGAGGGTTCTGATTTGGTTGTTGTAGTGATCGCCGATTTCCGTCTCGACGGCCTCTGTGCATGCCATAGCCGCTTCGCGACCCATTACTGCGGTACTCCAGCCCAGCCCAGTTGACATTAGCTGCCACAGAGGGTACAGCGCAGTCGGTCGCACGCGATGCTTGTGAATGAGGGCGTTGAACGTATTGAGGTGGCCCTCTTCTTGATCGTACATGTGTGCCATTAGAGGTCGAAGATGCGGATGTCGATTGACGATCGGCGGGGTCTGAGCTGTGTAGATTCGGGTGGCAGCCAATTCTCCAGCTTGATTGACTCGAAGCTAGACGAAGTCAGTATGGGGGTTCTCAACTGTACACAACTGCACAACTTACTGCTGAAGACAGGAACTCCCGCTGCTCTTGGGTCAGGGGCTTTCGCCGGGGCGGCGTTCCTGCACCTTTTGCTTCGGCCTGCGCATTGGAAGTGCCGGATAGCTGTCTGCGCGAGATGCAAACACCCGGCGCATACGCGTTTTGCGCTCCAATCCTTGCGATGCCGCAGCAGGGCCTCAGAGTCGATCTTACTGAAGCCATTGTGTGATTTTCGTAGGTGAACAAGACCCCTAAGGAACTCGGAGCACAAACTCGGCCGAAGACAAATGGAAGATGTCAATGACATCGAACGACTAGACCCTGTGGATGCCGAAGCCTTTGTCAGCGTTGATTGGCTGGCTGATGGGTAGATCGGATGGACACAGGCCGACGCTCCGACTGCTCCACCCCTGTGCAGACGAATGACATAATCTGAGCCAATCAGGCACGCGTTCGCAACGACAATGGCCCAAGGCTGTGAATAGGAGCCAGACTTTCGAGTTCTAATTCTAACAACCTTACCACACAACCGCCCGCGACCATCTCCCGACCATTCACCTCTCTACACCGAGTCGACAAAGCAACTCCATCTTTCCGCAACTCAAAGTAAATCGTATTCATTTCTTGCATCGGTAGCCAACTGCGTAAACCGATCGATCGGTCTTGAATCACTTGATTCACCCGGCACACCGGCCTGAAAGAGCTCCCAGCCCCTTAGTCGAACACCCGATCGTAACTTACAATGGCCGATATTGATGATGAGCTTTTGGCTCTTGCTGGAGGCGGAGAGTCCTCTGACGAGGAAGAGGAGGAGGTGATGTCTGAGGTGGAGAGTAGGGCGCAATCCGCGTCACCACCACCCAAGGCGGCTGCCAAAAAGTCCGCTGCGAAAAAGGTGAAGAAGCGCGCTGGGGGAGGCGACTCAGAAGAAGAAGGAGAGGCGTAAGTTTCTCCCGTTTCGTAATACACCCAGGCGCATTCCTACCTCTACACTTGAGAAATTCCACCAACCTTGAGCTTCACCTTCGACACATTGGATCTTAACATCTCAGCTCATCATCACACGCGCAACATTGGCTTTCCATTGCATTACCTGCCATTTGCATCACTGACAATGCGCCTCAGCTCTTCAGCCCCCGGTAGCCCCAACTCAATAGGATCCGCCGCCATGGACGAGTCCGACTCCGAGGCCGAGCCGCACAGGGCGGGCCAAGACGATGACGAGGAGGATAAGTACCCGGTCGACGGCATGTTCAAAAGTCGCGCCGAAAAAGAGATGGTGATGGCCATGCGCGAAGTCGAGAGAGAATCACTGCTCGCAGAGCGACAAGCCGAAATTGAGCGTCACAGACAGAATCGTATGCTGCGCCAGCTCGTTAGCAAGCAGGAGAACGAGGAGAAGAAGCAGAAGCTCAAGAAGCGCAGCGCCGACGCTGCCGATCTCGACGACGAATCGCGCACGACAGCGCGGCCGCGCACCGACGGCAAGACGTCAGCGATAGATGAGCTGCGTCGTGCGCGTGCGGAGAAGGTCGACCGCATACGTCGTCGCGAGGAGGAGCGTAAGGGACTCAGGTCGCCGCGCGACGACTACCAAGATGACAGCGATGAGGGAGGCGATTACGAGGAGAACCAACGCCGCCGGCATCGCAAGTCACGATCGCCGGAGGATGAGATTGTCGCGCGCGAATTGCCGCCTCCAGACATTCGGGATTTCGAGCGCATCCGCGTCGGGAAGAGTCGCTTTGCGGAGCACTGCTTCCACCCCAGTTTCGAGACGACTATGATTGGATGCTACGTCCGCATCAGTATCGGGCCTGACCCCAAAACGGGCCAGGACGAATATCGCATGGCGCGCATTCAATGTCAGTTGGCCCCCGAGGTATTGTTGCTGACAAGATGCTGACAAGATGCTGACATTTTACAGCCATCACGGTTGGCAAGCCATATGCCATGACAGGTCCTAGTGGCGCCTTTGTAACCGATCAATATGTTCTGGCAGCTCATGGTAAAGCGGAGCGGCCCTTCCCTTTCATTTTCCTGTCAGATCGGCCATTTACCGAGGTGAGTTTACACTTCAGACGCCTTATACGAGAGGGCACCCAACTGACTGAAGCAGCGCGAATACAATCGATACGAAAAGGTCATTCAGTCTGAGGGCCTGGCGTGGCCCAAGAAGAAGACCCTAATGGACAAGATTGACGACATCAACGCGCTCATCGCGTACCATCTCTCCACCACCGAGATTGACGAGCGCATCCAGCGCAAGGCTGCGCTCCGCAAGAAGTTCGATCCCAAGCTGCGTGAGCGCCTCGCCCAAGATATCGAGGTCGCCCGCGCCCAGGGGAACACCAGAAAAGCAGAGGACCTGCAAGAGCAGCTCGACGACCTCAAGACGAACGTATTGGCTTTCAAGACGAGCCTTAGCGAGACCTCGTCTAAGCCCAGCGCAACATCGCAGCAGGATCGGTTAGCTAACATCAACCGCCAACGCCGGCTGGAGAACGCCGAGAACGTTAGGAGAGCACAGCTCAAGGAGAAGGCTGAGGCGCGCAAGTTGGAGGCGGCGCTCGAGAGAGGCGAGGACATCAAGAACGATTTGTCGCGGCGGTTGCGGACGAAGGCGAAGTTCATCCACGATGCCAACGACACGGGCAGCAAGAAGGTAAAGGACAGCAACGCGAGCACACCCGCCAACGGCACGCCCAAGATGGGCGCTCAGGAGAAGAACTTCTTGCCCAATTTGGTCAAGCTGCAAGCTGCGAACCAGGAGAAGAAGGGCATCCCGACGATTCACAAGCCGCTCATGGACGATGACATTATCGGTTCCCTGGATCTCGATATTGACATTGACATTGACTAAAGAAGGTCTGTCTTGCAGAGGGGAATGGTTGTGTGGTTGCGAGAGAGGAATGTGGCCCGGCTGGAGACTGTGGCGGGATGCTATAAAAGTTTCATGCTATAAAGGGGCACAAGAGGGTTTGTGGGTACAGAGGCCCGACATCATATGGCACCTTTCCAGCGCAGTGGTTGTAGAGTAGAAAAAAAGCGTTTTGGCAAGGCTTTCTGCGTGAGCGAAGCAATCGACGCGATAGAGCAGACAAGAATGAAACAGACTGCGCGAGCATTCGTCGATATCAAATTCTCAGTCACAATCTCATGTACCTCAGTAGCCCAAATTGTTCTGTAGACCGTATCCTGGGCATGAGGCCCGTTGTTTCCCGTCTATCTACCTAAGTGAACCTGGAAGAGAAAGGGTTACGCGGGACGCTACTGCAGACTCGTCCACCGCGGGGTCGGACTTAAGGTCTCGCCCCGCGCCGGTGGTCTGGGTGGTGTGCTATGTGAGCTGCGGGGCAATGGATGCGCCAGCCCACAGTACCTAGGTAGCGGAAGCCATCCGTCCCAAATTCCCATCTGCACCCTGCCCGGGTTAAGCTTCAAGGCAAAGGACGGCCCCGTCGGCGCGCATTGGGCTTCTGCACGTGGGCGATGCGAACCGGCACCACCGCATTCGAGTTGCTCCGAGGCACCCCGCCAGCTACGTAAGGTAAGGCGAGGCAGCTAGCTGTACGTCTTGTCTCATAGTCTTTCCTACCTTGGACATCCAATTGTCATGTTCGTCGTCGTCGTCAACATCCCGTCCTTTGAATCGGCCCACGACTGCGCGCGGCTTTTACGGGGTTAACCCAAGTCTTCAACACCTCTAAACCTCCCCGAGTCCGTATGCGCTAGAGTATGCGACGACTACTTTACGTCCATTTGTTGACTGGTACTGACCTCTTCTCCCCTATCTACCACTAAGAAAGAATGCCATCGTTTCGTCGTTGAAATCACGTAAACTCATAGTCTTCTCCTTTCTCTCTCTCCTCCAGACGCCTACCTTTCTGCATAACACCATTCGGCCACTTGCGCTCATAGACCACCATCTCATTAGATAGGAGTGCTTTACACCAGGCTGGTCTGTTCGTTCATAGACGCACTCTCCCGCATACCGTTAGAAACCTAGATGCGACAACGAGGACATCTAGCAGCAGCGGCAATGACTCCCGAAGCGAAACCGCTCCTGGGAGGCGAGTCCTCCAGCCCGTCAGGTACAACTTTTTCTGTCCCTCTTTTCTTCCGACTTGCACGTTTCCCTCCAACGGTGCCAATGGCTAATAAAGGTCCCAACAAAGCAGCACGCTTTACATCCGCCCTCCCAGTCACCACCACCACCACCACCTCAACCCGCGGCGGCGCGCATCATCTACCCCAAGCAATAGCCCACCGCGGCTTCAAAGCCCAATACCCCGAAAACACCCTCCTCGCCTTTCGCACCGCGCTCGACGAGGCAGGCGCTCACGCCCTCGAGACGGACCTGCACCTCTCGCGCGACGGCGTCGTCGTGCTCTCCCACGACGGGACCCTGAAGCGGTGTTTTGGGATCGAGGACAAGAAGATCAACGAGTGCGATTGGGACTATCTAAAGACGCTCGAGACGGTCAGGGAGCCGAGGCAGAGGATGCCGAGGCTGGAGGATCTGTTGGGGTTGTTGGCGGAGGAGGGGAGGGGGGGGGGTTGGGTTTTGCTTGATATCAAGGTAAGGATTGCCGTTCCTGGTGCTTTTGAGTTGGTGTGTTTGTGGTTTGGGGTATTGGTGTTGAAGGTGGTGAGAAGAGGGCGCGGTGCTGGGAGACGAAGATGGAAGATGCTGACGTGAATGTAATCGTGTAGACCGACGATCCCCCAGCAGAACTCCTCGGCCGTGTAGCCGACGTTCTGGCCTCCACGCCGGGCCCCGTGCCGTGGAACGAGAGGATAGTATTCGGATGCTGGAACGTAAGTTGAACCCTTTTCCTCCACCATCTCACTAATCTCACCACTTCCTTCACCAAAATGAGCAAACAAGATAAAGGGTACTAACTCATCGTGATCAAAAAGCAACCCTACATCACCCACGTCCGCACGATCCTTCCCAACTACCCAATCTCCCTCATCTCCTGGTCCCCGCTCTACGCCCGCAACTTCCTCACGCCGAAACAGCCGAACCTCTCCTTCAACATGTTTCAAAAGTCCCTCGTCGGGCCCGTCGGCAAGTTATTCATCAGGGACGTGAAGAAGAACCATCGCCAGCTGTTCGTCTGGACGGTCAATGACGAGGAGTGGATGGAGTGGAGTATCCGCGCGGGAGCGGACGGTGTGATTACGGATGATCCAGAGTTGTTTCGGGAGGTTTGTAAGCGGTGGGAGGGGACTGGGTTACCTGCGTCTACGTCGTCCACGACGTCCACGACGGCCTCGGCTTCGTCGAGAGAGCGTGCGTTACTGGGAGAGCAGCGTAGTGAGACGGCAGACGAGGAGGACGAAAAGGCGAGGGTGGCTAGGCGGACGGGCCGGGTGCGCGACGGGACGTGGAAGAGGACTGCGAGGTTGTATCTCGAGGTGGCGGGGATCCAGGTCCTTGTTGCGGTGTTTACGCCCATTCTGATGCTCGTCGCGCGGTTCGGGGTTGTGGGGCCGGGTCCGAAAGCCGCCAAGGCGTTGAAGTTGTGAGATGGAGGGGACACGCGGAACGATGTCTTGTTTGCCGATCTTGAGAACTTACTATAGGGTGATGAATCTCGCGAGATAGATCAATACTGCGAAAGAGGAGAGAAATGGCCTAGGAGAAGTACACCCATATATAGAGAGATGGAGAAGACGCTAGAGAGTAGAGTCCAGTCGGATGATGAGTATGATACATTTTCAAAGAGAATAGGTTGCCTGAATAGCTAGAGAGGCAGGGGAAGCACAAAGATGGCACTAATTACCAAATGTAGGATACGGGCCATGTGGATAGGTTTACTAGATAGCGTAGAACTTGACAAAACAAACACACATTTTCTCTAGACTCTGAGTCTCCCGCCAGTCCTGTCCAATGTTATACTTCCGCATGGGCACAGGTTCAGTTATCTAGGCGTCGGAAGACGGCACCATGAAACAACAGGTTCGAGGCCTCCCTTGATCAAGAGAGAAATTGTGCAAGCTCATCGAAGGAGACAATATTTGGGTAAAGCCTTGATATGGCCTTGAGCAGGGACAAGAAATGCGTAAGGCCTCATCATGTCTTGTTAAAACAGACCGCTAGAGTCACGAGAGCATTCCATTCAGAAACAACAGATAATCAATATTCATGTCCAAGAGCCTGCTAAGTTTCCCCATTTCCCATGTCCATCTGGCCGTTCGGATATAAAAACCCTCCAAATAAACCCCATAAAGAGAAACAGAGCCATCGCTATTTAAACCCTCCAAATCACGCCATAGAGAAACACCCCTCGCGCTCAAAGTCCGTAATTCCCGTCAAGCCCATCCAGGAATAACCCATCGCTGTTCCCATTCCCGCTACAAGACGCGAGCAACGCATTCCGGTACTCCAAACTGCTCACGCTCAAATTTAAATCACTCGTCGCCAGGTCCTCGCCCGAGGACAGACTCTCCTCGCTGACACTCAACACGCTCTGCGGCGGCGCCGGATTCGTTCCAAAGTCGCCGATGTTGAAGTTGGCCAGGTCCCAGCTATCAGGGCTCCAGCTGTCCAACCCAGTCGACGATGACGCGGGCGTCTCTCCCATATTAGGGATAGCGCCGCCACCGCCGCCGTAGATTGCGTCGTAGACATTGTTGAGACCGCCGTCCATGGAGCCGAGAAGGGCCTCCCATTCAGAGGATGAGACGCCGGACACCTTTTGTGGTTGCTGTTGCTGATGCGGTTGTTGTTGCTGTTGTTGTGCGTAAAGGCTCTGGTGCGCCGCGGCGAGGATGTGCTGGTGTAAACGAGCTGTGGTTGGCGATGGAGGTGATGAGCCGTTTGGTGTGCTATTCAGAGACAGATAGTCGAGGTTCTGCTTGGAGGACGTGCGGATGCGGCTGGTAATTTGTGACATGGAAAGACGCTGATCTCGCCGCGCGGGGACGTCTTGCTGCTGCTGTTGCAAATTGTCAAACGACGGTTTCGAACGGGACCGGTAAAGTTCTGGGCGATTTTGGATGCTCGGCATGGTCATCCGGCGCATCTTCTCCTGCTGCTGAAACAAGTCACTCTCGCTAGCAGCGGCGCTCGGAAGACGACCCAGAATCCGCTGAGGAGACTTCTTCTTGGCCGCTGGTGCAGGGGGCGAAGACCTCTGCGGTGCGGGCATGGACGCGGACGCTTCCGGAGTCTCTTGCGGCGGAGTGGGCAGGTTCTGCTCATCGAGTCGAATGAGGAGGCCGGCCACACGCTTGAGATCGAAGGAACCAGGTGCCTTGGCCTTTGTGAGAATGTGGAGGACGCTGTTGACGAGGCGCTCCACATCCTTCAGCATCTTGCTTTCCGGCTTGAGCTCAAAGCTCTGGTACATGAGGGTCATGCCGCAGAGAACGAGTGTATCCGTCTTGTTGAGACAGAAGGAGAAGGTCATGCTACGCTCCTCGAGCAGCTGCACAATCTGAACAACGTGTTTGCTGGACTCGCTGATGGAGATTAAAGCAGGTGCCGCCTTGCGACCGAGCGAGGAGCCTACGGCAGGGCGGTAGATGAGGATCTTGGTATAGTAGTACGCGAGAGCAAGCAATGGCGACCGGCTTCCGGTTACATCAGTCGAAGGCTTGTCTTGCTTGAATGTAAGCTTGAGATGTGTCGGGAGTGACTCGTTCCATTCGTCGAGCTCGGCCTCCATGGCAGACATTGACTGCAGCGACAGCTCGTGAGAAGTGGCGGCGGGGTAGTTCTTCTCCATCACCTTGGCTAGGATTCGGCAACAGCGGAAGAGGGCGAGCGCGCTCGACAAGCGGGTATATTCGCCAGGGAGCGTTGGCTGGAAGCCCTTCTCGGTAACGTACTCGTCATCTGTGTCTGAAGGATACTCTGTGTGGATCTCATCCTCCTTGAGCAGTTTCGGCAGTCCAAGAATGGCACCAGAGAAGCTGTAGCCGTTAGTCAAAAAGTTTCACTTGGTCTCAGAGTAATGACACTCACCAATCCAACGTGTACAGAGTCCAGAACACCTTCTTGCGAGTCTCAATTGTGAGCGCACCGAAGGAGAAGCGCTTCTGGCTCTGGTGGAGGCCGAGTCTATGGGACAGCCCCACCGCAATGCCCTTGTAGTGCTGCAAGCGCTTATAGTCTGCTCTCACGATGCAGTACAATAGAGCCAACTCGAGACATTGTAGGGTCACCATAGTGTTCTCCATGAGGACAGCCTCGACAGCTCGCTGCCATTGTTGCTCACACGCTGCAATCTGCTCGAGATCGGGTTGGTCGCTACCCAGTGCCGCGATGCCAAAGACGAGGTACAGCTGGGCGATTTTGTGGTTATTCTTGACCTTTTCGGGGTCTGATACGAACTCCTCATAGATGTGGAGGAACGTCGGTTTGTGCAAGACGGGGAATAGGGGAGCCCACTCTTGGAAGTAGACGTTGACGCAGCGATCTGAGAACAAACGCGGCGGCACTTTGAGCGACTGATCAGGCGTTTTTGGTGTCAAAGGATGGCATCCCTGAATATGCAGGAACGCTTCTGGGTTGAAATCTGAGCATGACTTGCCGTTTTCTTGCATCTTGCGCTTGAAAGCCTCTGTATTTCATGTTAGCAAAAAAGCCCGTTGATCTATATCTACATCGCTCGGGCCGCCTATGCGGAAGGCGGGACGAACGGGTAGGCGCATGGAAAGAGGCGGTACGAACCGATAAAGGCACGGCCACTGGAAGGGCCCATAAAGTACGAATCCGAATTCTCGACGCCGAGTAACAACGGCGACGCCTGCACGCGGAAAGTATCTTCCTTGGCCGGCGACCCCGCGTCCTTTCTTCCGTCCGATGCCGACGCCGGTGAATGGGCCGATACCGCGACGGAAGGACTGCGCATGGTCGTGTGGCTGTGGTTTCCGTGCATCCTCGACAGCATGTCAATCTTTTCGTCCTTCTCGTCCAACAAGTCCTTCAGCTCCCTGACTTCGGTTTCCAGCTGGCGCACGCGCTCCTCGAGAGACTCTGTGTAGCCACGGGGGAATGCGCGACGGCTCAGTTTGTCGCTCGTGCGGCACTCGAAGCCCACGTTGGAGCATTGCGAGCATGTCGGCCTGATTCCGTCGCAACGAATCTTCTTGCTTCGGCACCGGTCGCAGGCCTGTGCTATGCGGCTTTGCGAGCTGGTGCCCACCTTGATCACCTTCATGGGTAATATTCCAGGCATGGTGGCGGTATTCCCCTCTGTTTTCTACGTTTGAACAGTCCTTTTTGGTGATTAATCCGGCAACGGGCAATTCAAGACGGGTGACTGGCGTTGACTAGATCAGCCTCGGAGGCTTCGGCGGTAGCTTTTTTCTTCTCTTTGGATTCGTCGTTGGGTAGGCTCGTTTGGGTATTTTGGACGGGCGTGCGGTAGGTTGAATGATCTTATACAGATGAACCACAGATCCTCCTCAAAGTTATGGCCGGGCGGTTTCGTAAATCGTCGTCTTCGTTGGGGGTTGTTGCAGGCAGTTGGTATCTTTGGTGACTAAGAAAGCAGGTCCGCGAGAACACCGATCTTCCCAACCGAGATGACAAAGATGACAACAAAAACAAGAAAAGGAGGAGAGTGGGGATTCGGTCTGGTCTACAACTCGGAAGCGGCGGGTGAGCAGTACCTATAATGGGTATGATGAGTTGCAAAGTCGAGAAAGAAATAGAACAATAGAGATGCTGGGTCGGAGGGCGGAGTCGGGGGTGTGTGAGAGAGAAATGGGAAAGAAGTGGAAGATGGTCGTGGGGGAGAGGGAGGTGAGACTGTGGAGTCCCTTAGTAGCAAAATGGACACCACGACTGGGCCGCTGGACGTAGGACACCACACTGAAAGGATTTGCTGCTAGGAACGCGGTACAAGATGAATCGTGGGGAGACGGGGACGGTACCTACCTTACCTACCTTACCTACCCTACCTTACACTAGGTAGGCAACAAGTACAGTACCACCTACCTAGAACGAGACCCCGTGGACGATGGGCGGGACCGGGGGGACGCTACGAAGCCAAGGTAGAAACAGCCATCCGTTTCCTTATTGGAATGCATACATACCTAGAATTGGTGAGCCGCCCGCCGTCGATTACTTACACTGAGTGGAGATACTTTACTGCACCTGGTTCTGGCGAGGTGCCGCTGTTGAGGGAAAGTACCTGAGGTACCTACTGGTGGGCCCCGGGCCGGCTCTCGCACTGGATAATCTGCACCACTGACCAGTGCCCTACTGTGTAGTGTGTAAGCGAGGGGCCCTTGAAGGGAGAGAAATCTGGGGGAAGAGCAGCCCGGGGTCTGCCGGGCGGCCCTCGCGCCGGCGCTGGTGTTGGGAAAAAGTTGGGGTCGAGGAGGGAAACGATACAAATGCACGCTAGCAAGAGTGAGGGGGAGCCAATCACTGATTGGCAATTGTATACCAGTTTGCTCGCTAGACTGTAGAGTGAAGTACGAGTACTTCGCTTCCCAGCTCTTACAAAGTACATTCCCTGACATGGTCAAGTGGTGAGTGAGGTGGTAGGTACCTAAGGTGGCTAAGGTAGCCAGCACTCGATGACTGGCAAGATCTAAGGTAAACCTTCCAAAGCAGGCGCCAGCCAGAAGCCAGAAGCAGAACAGAAGCACACCATCATACCATTGTCCGCCACGATAAACGTGTCCATCAACGCCATGCGACGACATGATGTGTGCCGGTCTGCTGTTATGCCAACAGCCTGACAGCGTTGCCAAAGCACTGTACCCCGCGCAAACGCGCGCTCGCTTGCCCTGCCATCGTACCGTAACTCTGGGAAACAGCATCTCTCTATTCATCTCGCCATCCAGTCCTTCAAAGCAGCTTAGCAGACGCAGACGCAGACGCATATATGGCACCACCCGAGTCCCTAGAAGCAGGTTATCGAAATCGCCAAATTCAGCCCTCCAGTCTCCAGACCATCTGGTCTCTCTCCAGAGACACCAAAACTCAACAGGCGCCAATAACAATAACTTGACGGAAAGGAAAGCTCTAGACCATTTTGGACGCGGGGCGGATCCGCCCCCAGAGTTTCCGCTCCGTTGTCAGCCCAGTGTCATGCGCAAGCGTCTCCTCGCGAGTCGTCCATTCCATGCTTCATGCCGCTTCGCTCCAACCAACCCGACCAACCACTCCTTTCCGCCACCACCCATCTCGCCCTTTCCCCAGGTTTTACATTTCCATCATCTCGCCGTTCAGGGCAAGATTCGGGAACAAAGAAACAACAGATACCTAGACAAGCTTGCGACTTTGATGTTCGGCAAAAGTAGGAACAGCCCATTGGGACCTGGGGAAAAGGAGGCAGGCACCTGGGGTTCAAACTGGGGCGCAGGCCACAGGAAACTGGGGGAGAAATCCGGGGCAAGGCCCCCGGTGCCGTTACGCTGGTTCCGGGGCCCCCCATTATCGCCATATATCCATATCGGATTGGATCACCCCCAGTCGACGATCGCTTTCTCGTTTTTGGTGGCCCCAATGATTTGCCGCCTGGGACGAAAGCTGCTTGGCCCACGCGTGCCACGCAAATTGAACCAATTCTTCACCTCTGCAGCACTCTTCAAGCCCTATCGAGTCTGAGCGTGCGCGGCAGTGATAGTCGTCAATATTGGCCCCCGACCTAGCGGTGAACAGCCAATAAACGCAGGCGAGCCACGACTAAAGTACCGGGTCTCTTGCGATCGACGGGATTTTCGCTGTCTCGAGACCTGATGGCACCTATTGACATATCATCATTGAGAGATGACGCCTAGGTAGTTTTCAACGTCACAACCTCTTACACTAACCAAATATCGTCATCCTGATCAAGCCGGCCCGCGAGCCAATGTGTATATATCGTAGCGCACAAAGCGACACTGCCCCTCGAAATCTTGCTTGACCAGCCAGAGTCCAACAGATTCCGAGATGGCTGACTGCTCCAATGTCACTCTGAAGTCTGAACGCGCCCGAGTCCCCGACGTCTTGACTCGAGTGACGCTTCTGTGATGCGATTGAAAGACCCGCTGATATTGAAACTGGCGCCAGCTAGTCGGTAAATGTGAGTCCGCCAAAAACGGATCCCCCCATCCAAACGTGTCACACCGTCGACGCCGTTGGCGTTGGGGATGGTAGGAAACCACGCTATCTTTGCGGAACCGCAATTGCAAAACTTTATCCCCTGCCCGCATTCCGCGCCGTTCTCGGGCGGGCCCACCTTCACTTCAAGTCCGGGCTTCGGGTCAGCGGTACTTAGAACTCGTAAGCTGAACACTTTCTTCGAGGAGTCGAGGCTCAAGGGAACCCAATGTAGCAAAAGTCTCGAATGCTCGTGTGCTCAAGGCTCGATATCGCAAATGTGTGAGTTTGCTTGTTCCGAGTATTTGTCGTGCCACTCTTTGTTGATTGGGCTACTCTCAGCATGTCCAAACAAAATTCGGTCCTGTTCGGAAAGCGGACTTGTCTCGTCAACTCCAAACAATCCCATCCCAGCTGATATGGGTATTTGTGTAAAAAGCCAAAAAGAGACCATTGTGCGGATAACGGGATCGGATGAATAAACGTCTCCTGTCATGTCCAAAAGGCTGACCGAAACATGAGACAAGTGAGGTTGAGCAAACCACGCCACTTTGTTGCTTCGTCTCGACTCTCCATTCTCGAAAAATTCCTGTTTGAGCGTGCCCTGTGGCATTCACCTCGGCAAAGAGCGAATTGGGGAAGAATCGGCTCTCTCTCTCTCTCCCTATCTCGCAATCCCTTCCCCATGCCCCACTTTTGGTAATCGCACGCTGGAATGCTGATGAGGCACGTATCTGTTATCGTAGACATCCGTTGAGCTGCAGGTGCCGGGAACAACAGGAATATTGAACCCGTAGAGATCGTTGCGTCGTGTTGGGAGGTTCTACAGCATAGTCCCTATGCGACCTTCATCGTGATAATTCGTTCATGCAAAAGACCCAGGGCGAAACCCAATCGCCGCAGGCTGCATCCCCGTTGACAAGTCACCCAGATTCGATTCGATGACAGGGTCCAGGGGTCTCTCCCACATGCGCCTGCTGCTCGGCGTGGCATCCCCCGTCGCTCGCTCCATGTCCAAAAACACCTGCTGTATTTCTTGCTGCCCTCGTCTCCAAGAGGTCGAAGAAGCGCAGAATTTCACGTCCCGGACCAAATTGAGCAACAATCGAGTCCTAGAGGCCCGTTCCGGAGATGGCCCACCTTCGTAGATCTCCGTTGCACTTACTTGTAGGTGCGGCCATGAAAGCGTCGACCGCCCGCCAAGTCTGAGCCTCGGCGAGCCTCACGCTGGCGGTAGGATGAAGAGCTTGCAAGGCGTTCCGCGCATGCCGGCGAAGAAACTGGATCACTTCTCCCTCGTTCTCGAAATGCAGATGGCGTCCATTTGCGGCACCATAGGTGTCAGGCACTGTTGTCAGACTCCATGAGATGGCGCCGCCCCCCATTATCAGGTATGCATCGCGCAGGCAGACGCGGGGCATCCGGATGCTGGGTGCTGCACTCAACTCACATAGTGCAAGCCCCTGTTCTGCCCCATGTAAGGGAACGAGATGGTATTGTGATGGTATCCCATAGTTTTTGTAAGACAAGACGTCAAATTACTAGAACACCCTAGTTGCGAACAAGCTCAAAATTTTTGGATAAGGACATCTACATTGCTCCATGTTCTGATCTCTGCTGCAGCAGCTCATCGCCATGCTTCGCAACGGCGTACCAACTCTGCCCCAGATGGGCGCCGCCGTAACTGAGTCTTATTGTGACTGCCGAATGGATCGACCCGGCCGGATGGCTTCGCCTGTCCCTCCATCCCTAACTGAAGTCTTCGTCTTCATTGGATAACTCGTCGTGGACTAGGTCGTTTTGGGCATCTTCCATCGACCCGAGATAAGCCACCACGTTTTCGTCTGCGAGGAGTTGTGTTTTCTGCCAGGTTGGGGCACATCGCCCACCCTTGTTAGTCTTGGCGCCACACGCGGGGGAAGTCTGTAGTTGAGACGGGGCTCCGGGGTAATCGAATTGTGGGAGAAAACCAGAAGGATTGCAGGACTTCAAGAGGCAGAAAGATTGAGGAGCGAAGTGGGCAGAGTATCGTAAGATTCGTCTGCAGCCCTGGAACTGACAGGAGACCGGCGATGAAGAATGCATGTAAGATACCACTTACCTGGTCCTCCAGAGCCTTTACGGCAGCTTCTAGTAAACTCGTCTCTTGCTCCCTCAGCGTTGCAGCTGCACCGATGCATGTTCCACAGACGAGACCTCCTTCGTTCAGGGACTCGTCGAGGTCTTCCAGAGACATACCGGTGGCCAGTCGCTCAAGCTGACTGGCCACCAGATCCTCCAAAACGGAAACCACCCGAAGACGAAATATTTGAGCCAAGGGGTGTTCATTGATGTGTTGCTCGAAAGCTGTTGTCGTCGCGGTCACATCCTCTTCCTGCCAGAATAGTTTTAGCTCCCGTGAACCTCCGGTGTCCTGCAAAACGCGAAACGACAGGCCGTCCTCCTCATTGAGGCACAGGAAATAGGCAAAGGGGCTCTTCCAGCTGAGTGAGCCATTCGTCCGGACAAACTCCACTGTCGGTGCTCCTTCAAAGACGTGCAGCTTCGCCTTACCCAGCGGGTCGTCTTCCATGGGTATCAAGGGCAGCGTGATCCGGTCGGCGGCTGACGCGGGGTCAATGAACCCATAGCTGAAGAGCATCTCTGCCCCGGATTTCGCGTCCCCGTAGGAGATTGTCATTTCGTCCCCAGACGTGACCCTGCATCCGGGTCGCAGAAGTAGTACCACCTCGTCCTTGCCATTCTCTTCGTAATAAGCATTGGCCTTGGATGAGTGATTTGCCAAGTCTAGTACCGGGACCATGGCTTCCCCTGATTTGGGGAGCTCCAGGCATCGGGACCGAAACCACGCGTCAACCCGAACCCAATCAATGAGTGACACCTTGTCGCTTTCCCAAAACAGCTCGTTCCAAAATGGTAAAGTCGCAGAAATATCTCGGAGCTCGTCAAACTCGTCTGTCAACGCAACAATTTTGGCGGCCGTGGCCGACTATTTCCTGTTAGAACGTGGTCCATAAGAGATAGCTGAATAGCTGAAGTCTCTGGGATATCAGGACAGTCTCCTTCAGCCGCAATCCTTGGCTAGCAAACAAGTAGGCCCTCACATGAGAAAGATGCCATTGTAGTTGGGAAGCGATATTGACTTTTGTCAAACATGGAGGTTGGACGAACCCTGCTTAACCAACGGCAGCCGATGTATTCCTTTTAAGGGAAGGGGAAAGGCATTGGGAAGACTAAGGAAAGACTTGCCTCAAGTGATGTTCCATTCAGCATCTCGCGTTCCTGCTCAGTCCAGAGGGTGGTAACAGGAACTTGCGGCGGCAGGTACTTGACGTATTCTGTCCATGGTGTCGAGACTCCGCCCTTCAAAGACGTTTTGGGCCTATCAGAAAGTACCTTCTGCGTGAGGAGAAAGAGGCAAACGTCATGTCGAGTTGACTACATGGAGAAGATGGGTAATCTCTTAGCTTTTAAAGGTTCGTATCGAATTCGGGCGAGGCGTACACTTTACCTTGTGACCAGCGACCTCGAGCAGCTGCCGAAAGTTCTTGTCGACCTTTGCATAGTTCTCAACAGCTTCAGCGGATAAAACCAGCTCGCCGGGAATCCTGAGCAAGGTTGGAATATCAAAGGTCTCTTCCTCTCGACTAAGCTCCTTGTTCGAAAGTAGACCCAAACCGCAACCGGGGATTTCGCGGGCCTCGACGTCGACGAGGTCTACGTCATTGAACATGGCCCAGGTCGAGAGGGTTTCCAGGGGGAGCTGCGTAGACGCCATGACGAGGCTTTCGGCTTGCTATCAATGAGGTTGAGGATTGTGAATGAGCGAGCTGTTGATCGTTGCTGTGCGGTTTCGTGGTTGGTAGAGAGCAGATGAGGAAAGAATGAAGCTCGAGTTCGAAGAGCAAAACGTGAGGTTGCTCAAAGCGCAGGGTGGATCGCAATGCAATGTACTGCTAGCGAGCAGCGAATACAAGTGCTTGGGTTATGGGACTGCAAAAAGCCGATGGCTCCCTCCAAAAACAACTCAGCCTTTTCTTTTGCAATATCAGAAAACCATGAGTTGAAACGGCAAGATGCCTTCTTAAGCCAAAATTCCAATGGAAGGAGCTTCATGCGTCGCATTGGCGGTTAGAAGCCCAAAGAAGCCTAAAACACTGGGCCACATCACGAAGGCGGGCACGCGCTTTACCTTTTCATCCCATGTCCAAGTAAGAACAATCTTCTCGCAGCTCTGCTTGAACTTTTCAATACAAAAGATACGTGGCCTTTCGAATAAAATATCAAAATTTTGAAAGACGACGACGGTCACTGGAAAGACATTGGAACTTGGAGGGTGTCAAAGTCCTGTTTACGTAGGTGGTCTATGTACTACCAAGGCAACTGGTTGGAGCATGATTTACAACTGCTAATCATCATGGCGGAAAGACCAGACAGTCCCGCTCTGAGGTAAGTTCGCAACAGCCTAGGACATATGATTCCTCCATACCATTCCTGACAACTCCGAAATTATGCGTGTAGACCTAACCGGGTTACGGCGAGATCAAGGTATCATCGATATGAAATAGGATAAGGAAACGAAAAGCAGCCCAAACTCCATACTGAGCATTCCCGGTCCCGTCCTCGCTCTTCCCATGGCTCGTGAAGATGAGTAGTAACACAGACTTGCAGCCCTCAACCGGCTGCACTGATTATCGTACTTCAAGTTACCGACCATTTGAGGCGAGATGCTCCTTGAATAGCTCAGCGGCACGACGAGCGTCTCTCCGCCGACTCTCTTCATGCATCTTGCGCATCCAGGCCGCTCCCCGCACCCACTCCTCGTTCCTGCGTACATAGATTGGCAACTCCTCTTCAGGGACATCACCAAAGTCCATGTGCCTATGGTGTGACCAAGGCCGTGGCTCGCCTCGAGCGACGCCCAACTTATCTTCCTCTTCCTGGCGCTCTTCTGCCAAGCGCTGCTGTCGCATGCGCTGGGCTGCTTTGCCAAAATTTGCCTTGCGACCACCTCGGGCTTTGATTTCCTCCATCTTTGACTTGTACCACTGGTCGCTGCGATTATGTGGCCAGTGAATGCGGGGGTCAAGCTTCATATGAAAGCGGCCGTCATCTGCACAAGATGTCGAGGCTCCTTTCGAGGTCTCTATTGGCGCAGCCAGAGTATACACCCCCAGAGGAGGTCTCGTGGCGTCGGGCTGGCTATATATCATGGCGTCGAACTTGGTGAACTCGAAATCGGCGCAGAGCTGGAGTCGACGCTCTTCGCAGGTCAGTTTCTTCGTTTTGCGGGAGAAACTGGACTCCGGATTCTGCTGGTTGCGATTCTGTTGGTCGCCCCTCCCTAGTGTCGAGCCTTGTCGTAGTGTGCCATTCGACAAAAGGACGTGACTTTGACTCTGCCCATTGGAAACGTTTTGCTGCCGTATTCTTCCACTTCTCTCACGTCTGCCATCTTCATTCTCGTCAGAAGAAGAGCTGAGCACAATAGGCCTAAACACTGCACCCAGACGAGTGGTATTTTCATTTCTCAGAGAATATGAACGTGACGCCTCGGGGTTGGCGCCAGGAAGTCTCGAAGATGTGGAATGTGAAGCATTCAAATTTGCTGCGGCTCCAAGGTAAGCGGACGAAAGGGGATGTCCGGTGACTACCTTTGCTTGCTCTGGAGCTTCATCGTCAATCTCGTCATCAAGATCATCATCAGAAGAGTTGAATGACGACGATGAATCGGATGTCGTGTCGGTACTATCCAGCCTTCTCCGCTTGCCGGCCGAAGACGTGAATCTGCTTGTCGAAGCTGATCGTGATGCCGATGGCGCCGATTTCACATGCATCGGCGGCAGACTCTTAGTACTGACATGAGGCAGCGAATCGAAGCTTCTATTCACAGATAGCACAGATGCCAACGGTGCAGTGGAAGTCCTTCCTATAAGTTGACTTCTGTGTCTTTCAGCATCCGGTCGGGCGCTCGAATTGCGAGTGATATGCGACGGGTTCTTGGTGCCTGCCATCATCGCGGACTCTTGAGATGCTCGAGAGCTTTGGCCGGGTCGATATCCCCCTGAGGAAGCCCGTGCCGAATTGTAGCCCCATGACTTCTTTCCCCTGGGTTGCACCTGTTCAACCGTTGCAGTCACCTGCGATACGCGCTGGGTTGTATCGGTACTGCCAGAGGGTGGCTTCGTCTGGTCTTGTGATGGCGAGTGCACTGGATTAAGAAGTGGTCGAAAAGGATTGAACGTGCCAGGAGGGAGAGCTTCATGGTTGATCGGTGAGCCAGACTCAGGAGTGTGGCTTTGCGTAGGAGTAGTGTGGAGCCTTAGATGAGTCTCTTCTTCCATGCGCTTCCTAGGAGGAGCTTTTGTCCCCGCTGTCTTTCTGGCTGTCATAGCCAGTTTTCCCATGAGATCTGGCGGCAGATTCGTCCTTCTGACCGTGTCCTGGGCGCTCTGAGAAGCGTATGCTGGCTCGTCTCGAAAACTCCCGCCCCGAGAATGCGGCTGACTGCTTCTCGACTTGTCGTCATCTCTGGCTCGCCGTATGTTCTGCGATGGGTTCTGCGCCACTGGGGGCTTTTGAGTACCGCGTCCAGATGAGTCGGCAGCAAGATGCGTAGCATTGACTCGAGCAATTCTCTTTTCTGTTTGATGTCGTATTTGCTCATGACTAAGGCAGCGAGTCCCATAAAGAGCCTTGTAATTGCAACCGTCTTCGACACACCGCTCTGTAGACTGCTGACCAAAGGACTCCATCTCCTCGCGGCCTGGTTCTTCATGAAGATATCTCGATTCTATTAACTTGCTGAGATGGGTTTCCACGGACGAAGGAACGGGGTTCGTGAATCTCGAAAGCTTTGTTGCCTAGCCAGACCTGCTCTCGATGACGAAAGACTGTTGCCCAAGTGCTGAAGGCAGTGAAGATGCGTTGATAAGATTGCCTGCTTGGGTCTCTCGGGAAACTGTTGGCAGAAGTTGAGCTGAGTGGTGCGTCCCAATTCAACCTCAGAACAACGTGTCGAGCAAAGAGTACACAGCGGTGATGGGTTCTTTTGTCTTCATGGTCTGGGATTTGAAGATTAGGTGGCCAGAGGTGGTGCATGACAGGGGTTTCTACTGAAGTAAGGTTAGCTTAAAGTTCAACCTGACGTTAGACGGGACCCGGAAGGTCCTGCAAAACGAGTTGGAGCCAAATGATGAAAGTTGCAGAAATAAAGTGTGCGCTCAGGTCTTTTCAGTCATTTTGGTCTTCATATTGGGGACCACAGCGGGTTCGTAGTCTCATCTTGAACCATTTTCCTTGTCTGCCTGAGCCTTTGGTCCTACTCCGTTTGGGTAACTAGAAGCAGAACTCCAAAATGAGGTCATGTTCATGTCGATTTCCGATCCTGGGTTGGTATACTGCATTGTTTGAGCAGCTCCATTTGTCGCGTTTGCTTTTCGCTTGGCGAGAGCCTTGCGAGGATGAGGACGTGGCTCATTCATCTAGAACGGCCATTGAATGGTAACAAGATGAGACAACAAACCCAGAAGAATCCTTTTCGATCGGACCTTTTACCAGTAGTCATCACTGCGCGTAAGAAAAGTGTGTTCGGGGTTGAGGAATGAAATCGAGGGCTTAGAGAAGCAAAATCGCATTTACCCGTTGGAGAACCGCCTGCTCCCTCAGAGTCGCGCCTTCGGCCGCCAGCGCACGACACTTTGGCATGGGTTACGAAGAGGAATAGCCTTGGGGTCGGGTTGAAGGTAAGTGAGTATGAATGAGTCTTCTTATGAGCGCCGGTTGTGATCAAGTTTCCTCTTCGTAGTTGCGCGAATGCTCAAGGTAAACCTAGCTTTTGTCGAGTCGCAAGGCTGGTCGGGTTGCTGAGGCTCTCGCCTCGCGTTGCGTTCAGTGGAGGTTGATGAAGGTCGCTTGCTTGAAATCACTGGAGGACCTCGGGGTAATCCTTGCCTAGCTTCGTTAACAGACGGAACGACCTACTAGACGGGGCACCATCGATTTGCATCCGGGCCCACTCAAAACATCGGCGAACGGATCATTTATCACCCGTAACACCCCTCCATCCAAAATAGCCTAGCGCGGGGATCTTCAGGCATGAGCTGCTGCTCGTGGTCCCCTGTTCCAGTGTCAGCGGTCCACTATCTTGTCGCCAAGTTGCCCGAAGCTCCCTGCCTAGCACTAGCAGCGCGTGCGTTGCCCCTTCCGCCAAATCTACAATTCCAAGACCAGCATTTGCTGATTGACCAGATCTTGGCTTCCTGAATACGGTACCGGGTTTGGCAAAACAAGATGAATTTCCTCAAGTCAGCAGTGGCCTCTGCCATTGCACAGGGGCCACCATTTCCCTATAGCTTTGGTGACAAGGTGGACATCGACGAGTCCATATGGACATTGAATAACGGTACCAAGCGAGTATGTCTAGCTACCCGACGACGCAATCGACAGCCCAACATCTAACACCCCTTGACAGGAAGACGGTTCCAACTGCAGTATTTTCTCCTTCGATGTTGCCGCCAATAAGTCCCGACTGCCTCTGGCGAAGAACGCACTGCGAAAGCTGAGGACCCTACGACACCCAGGCGTCATCAAGGTGTTGGATACCGTAGAGGTTAGGACGGCCCTTGACTACCTTACACGGAGCTTTGTCTCACAAGTCTATGCAGACCGACACATACATTTACATTGCGACCGAGCGAGTGGTGCCTCTACGATGGCATGTGAAGAGAAAGAGCCTCACGCCAGAAACGATAAAATGGGGATTGAGTAGCGTTGCGGTATGTCGGGATGACAATCTGGTTTCGTGGGAAGGCTAATCGTTCCTCAGCGCACCATCAAATTTATCAACGATGAGGCTTCATCAATACACGGCAACCTAAGGGTTGGCTCTGTTTACACATCTGAGAGTGGAGAGTGGAAGATGAGCGGGTTTGAGGTCTTGAGCAACGTGAAAGACGACGAAGCAGTGATATACGTAGGTTTCATCCTTGTTCTTGGACAACTTCGTTACTAACGTCGATGCCTAGACATACGGCAGCTTGGTCCCAGATTCAGGGCGATATGCGCCGCCTGAGCTTGCACGTGGTGGCTGGGATGCCATCAAGAAGAGCCCGCATTCCGCTGTGGACTCGTTTGGTTTCGGATGTATGATATTTGAAGTCTTCAACGGCGACTTCATGGGCTCTGATCAAGCCGGCCAGACAAAGAGCATTCCTCCGACCATGCAACAAAGTTACAAGCGTCTCGTCAACCCAAACCCGAAGGCGCGTGTTAGCGTTGGCCATTTCCTAGAACAAGGACAGCGGAGTGGATCTTTCTTCGACAGCCCCTTAATCAAACTGACGGAGGGAATCGAGAATCTCGGTGTGAAGACTGAGAGTGAGAGAGATGCGTTTCTCGAGTAGGTCTCTTCACGTCGAGTATTCCGAGCACGTAACTGACCCACACAGTGATCTCGATCAACTGACAGACGATTTCCCAGAAGATTTTTTCAAGATGAAAATTCTCCCGGAGCTCATAAAGTCGGTTGAGTTTGGCGGCGGCGGACCGAAGGCCTTCAGTGTCGTAATGAAAATTGCAGCCAAACTTTCAAACGAGGATTTTGATTCAAAGATCACACCCGTCGTAATCCGGCTATTCGCAAACCCTGATCGTGCGATCCGCGTCTGCCTTCTCGATAGCCTGCCTTTGATGATCGATCGGTTAACGCAAAAAGTGGTCAACGACAAGATCTTCCCACAGCTCGTCACTGGCTTCACAGACGTGGCGCCAGTTGTCCGAGAGCAGACTTTGAAGTCGGTTTTGGTCATTATTGGGAAGTTGTCTGATCGTACCATCAACGGAGAGCTACTCAAGTACCTCGCCAAGGCGGCAAACGACGAACAGCCAGGCATCAGAACAAACACCACAATTTGTCTGGGGAAAATTGCCAAAAACCTCGGAACATCTTCGAGAGCCAAAGTGCTCATCGCCGCCTTCACCAGGTCCTTGCGTGATCCGTTTGTGCATGCCCGAAATGCCTCGTTGATGGCTCTCGGCGTCACAGGGGATTGCTTCTCCGACGAAGACGTGGCTTTGAGGATAATGCCCGCGGTTTGTCCCTTGCTGATTGACAAGGAGAAGGTGATCCGTGACCAGGCGAGCAAGACGATGGACGTTTACCTGAAGCAAGTCAGGAAGGCCGCCTCCAATATGCCAGAGACTGCTTTGCCTCCCCAGGCTGCAGAAGGTGCCGGCGGACCTCGTATGAGCACTCCTCAGCCCAACGAGGCCTCAGCTTCGTCCTGGGCAGGATGGGCGATCTCCTCTTTCACCAACAAGATTTCGACTGCAAACGGTGAGATGCAGACCTCCAACGGCTCAGGTGCTGCATCTCCGAAACCGACCCCATCGCCAGGCCCCGACGCGAAGAGGCCGACCACGTCTTCAGCCTCAGCTCTGCATCGCCAGGCGGTCAAGTCTCCCCCGCCAATGTCGCGGACGCCGTCGTCGGTCGTTGCAGACGCCTTCAACCCGGAACCCGCAGATGACGGCGGAGACGCTTGGGGCGATCTGGGAGATGATGATGGTTGGGGAGAGCCAAGCGCCAACAGCAGTTCGTCGGCTAAGAAGGCAAATACGGCCAGCGCAACTCCATTTGATGACGGTGCAGAGCCAGATTTCGCCGGCTGGCTGGCGGCGCAATCCCAGAAGAAGACTGGGGGAAGCAAGCCGCTGCCAAAGGGCCTCACAAAGTCGTCAACGACAGCAGCGAAGAAGCCTTTGGTGTCAAAGCCGGCTGCTAAGCCTGTGGTAGCGAAGAAGATTGACATGAAGCCGAAGGACGACGATGACGATGAAGGCTGGGGAGATGGGTGGTAGGTGGTGACCGTGGCAAGACGAGACACAGTTTGCAGCATTTCTGGCGTTAAGGGGTGCGGGATACCACGATCTTGCACGTAATGTTCATGTAGCAGTAAAGCCTGCCAATTGAGAATTTGTAATGCAGACGGCCGCAGCCTCATCTGTGAATGCGATACAAAGGACTGTCCTGGACGCCCCGCCAACCCAATCCCCAAAAGTCATAATGAAGAAAAGTTACAAGCCATGATTGAAGAAAAAGCCTTTTGTAGACCAATGAACCAACCAACGCAGACGTGCCCTCCCTAGTAAACCCACCAAAATCGTTATCTAGCAGACTCGGAGTAGTCATTGAGGGCGACACAGACGGCGCCTCTGTGGTGGCCATTGTACTGGCGAATGATCTGCTGGCTGTGGAGCTCCCAGAGCCGGGCATAGTGGTCGGAACAGGCCGTCACCAAGTAGGCAGAATCGGCGCTGAACGCGCAGTCCCAGACCCAGCGCTGGTGGCCCGTGAGGGTGGCCTCGAGCGGGAACGGCTTAGGCTCCTGGTCGGGGGCAGGCTCAAGGTCCTTGACCTCCCAGATGCGGGCGGTGTGGTCGGCGCTGCAGGTTGCGAGCTTCTTGACGTCGGGCGAGAGGAGAATGCGCGTGATGTACTCCTTGTGCGCATTGAAGTGGGTTACCGGAAGGAGCTGGGTTCGGTCGTAGGCCTGGAGCAGCTGCCACACGAATACGTTGCCCTATTTGCTTGTCAGTTCTGGTGTCGCATTTCATATCTATTCGACAATCGGGAGGAGCTTACGCCATTATTCGCGGCGCAAAGCAGGGAGCCGTCGCTGGCGACCGTGACGCTTGAGACCGAGACGTCCTCCTCGGGAATCAGCTGGTGGGAGCAGTTGTTCTCGGCAAGATCCCAGACACGGACGCTGCCCTGGCGATCGCAGCTGATGATCTCGCCCTGGTTAGGATGGATCACGACGTCGTTGGCGGGACAGCCGTGGTTGTAGGAGCGCTGGACCTGGCCACTGCGTGTCTCCCAAATCTTGACGGTGCCATCCTCGGAGCTGGTCACCATCCACTTGCCCTCGCAGTGGAAGGCGACGCCAGTGATGTTGCCAGTGTGGCCTTCGAAGGTAAGCAGCGGGTTCGGGTTCGTCGACTTGATATCGTAGAGTTTGACCGTGTGGTGGCCTGCGGCGGCGAGGAAGCGCTTGTCGGGAGAGATGCAGAGACGGTTGACCTGGGAGTCTGGGTGCTGGATCGTACGGGAACAAATGCCCGAAAGGGCCTCCCAGAACCTGCATTCGGAGGAGTGTCAGCCAAAGACACCCAATTATTCAGCGGTCGGGATCAAGTTTCCGATCGTTTCGTACCTGATTGTGTGGTCGTAACCCGCTTGGACAAGGTTAGCGACCGATTTCAATCCCTTTGTCGACATAGAAGAAGAGGTAGATGGCCCTCAAGGCTCAAGAACACGCACCTGTGCAAAGAATCACAGACATGGTGACTGTGATGAAGCCTTCGGCCTCAGTTATCGCATGTTATGATGTATGTGTGTAAGGGAGATGTTGGTCGAATATTGAGGAAGGCGCATCCAAAAATCGGGAGGTGTATTTGCGCGCGCAGAGTCGCCAGTAAGCCCCTCCACAATATAGGTAGTCGGCTGGGTTGGACTCTCGACTGGAGCTTCGGCTCACATTCCTAACAATGCGGCCCCACTACAGGTCCGGGGACACCTGGGGTCTCACCGAGGTGTGGCTGGCGTCGGGATTTCTTCGGAATTTGGTATGCAGACCATCACTCACCACCACACAGGGACAGGTACGACTCTGAGGTTTATACTCGGCTTTAATATTCTTACGGTTGATACCTACTCAACAAGCGAAGCAAGTACTTCACGAGATAAGATGGAGTAGCACACATCCTTCCTTCAATTCAGGGTTGAGCACTTCTTGTTTGACATTTTTTACTGGCCACTGCTGTTGTCACTCAGTTCTTTGTCCCAACTCTCCTAATGTTTTCAGGTGTGACTCCATCTCTGTCACACGCCTTCCTAAAGAACCCACTCTTATTCCACACATCCATAACGTCTCCAAAAGCCTGTATCCTGCCCTGGTCAAGGACGAGCACTCGATCAAAAAGCATAGCAGCCTCCATGCGATGTGTGACCGCCACCATTGTGGTACCCCTCAGTGTCTCTTTTACCATCTTCGTAACTTCAACATCCGCTTGGACGCTTAGTCCTCCGAGTGTCTCATCTAATACACATACTCGTGGCTTCTGAAGTATCATAGACGCCAAGGCAATCAGTTGTGCTCTCCCTGTCCCTTGAGCGACCTGCTCGTCGACAAGTTCGTCGAGTACGAGAGGTGCCTGACCATGCAGCCCGGCCACCCTGTCTAAGTTCGAGAGCAGATGAAGGATTTCGTCACGGGACTTACTGCCTTTTGGATCAACAGTCTCTCGGACAGTAGTATTGGGAAATGAGGCGGCATCGTGAGGGACTGCGACAAGATGGGACCGCAAGACATGTAGCGGAATGTCTACCATTGGTATGCCATCCAGGGTGACGTGACCCATCGTGGGATCAAGTAGGCGAAGGAGCAAGGCGACAAGAGTCGATTTACCTCCACCTGTAGGGCCTACAACCGCAACATGCGTACCGCCTGGGATGGTGAACGACATTTGCTGCAGGGCCGAGGATGTCTCCTGGGGATGCTCTTGGCGGTGAGAGACACTCACGTTCTGGACAACGATCTCCCCGGAATTCGGCCACGATTCCTCGAGAGAAAAGCGGTATCCCAAGGCACGCTCCGTCTCACCCTCGCGAGGTAAGCTGGTCGCATAGGATGCAAGACGGTCGACTGCAACCATTGACTGAAAGGCGCTCGTCGAGAACCTCATGCCTTGTCTCAGAGATGCCGGTAGTACCAATGCCTGACTCATTATCAGACCAACGATGGATGGTGATAAGGAAGCTGAGGAAGTCACGACAAAAAGACCTGTGAGTCCAATAGTACTGGCTACAATAGCATCAAGTCTCACTTCGAGCCAGCGTAGGTTTGCGGCGGCCAGCAGGCGGATGCTGCTCCATGCGTTCAGCCGTTGGACAAGAAGAGAACGAGCCGACGTTTCGACCTTGTAAACGGAGATGCAGCTGGCGCCGTCCACGCTCTCGCTGAATGCAGCGTTCACGCGGGACCGTAACTCAGCTTCGCGAGATCGGACAGTCTTCAAACGAGGAGCGTAACGGCGCATCATAATGACGACGGCGGCCAGGCCTGGCACTACGACAACGGCAAGCTAGAAGAACGACCGTGAGCACAAATCTTTCATGAACATGTGAAAGGTACATACGTTGATTTGCATCGCCAACATCAGGGCAACTCCACCCAGCAGGCGCGCCAGATGGAGTGTGGCATTGCGTGTTGCCTCGATCAGCTCTCTATCGGTCGTATCTACATCTTTGGAGAGGCGATCCATGATGCTTCCCAGAAGATGGCTTTGAAAGAACCTCATGGGTGCCCCGACCACACGTCTCATTGATCGTTCCCACAAGCTATGGCTCGCTTGCAACATCTTTCTGGTGATGTTCAGGCACAACACATACGCCAGGATCGCCTCTCCAAATCCTAGCACAGCAAATATTGCTACTGATGCGAGGCCCGACAGCCCCAACCGATCAGAAGTCCACAGTGAGAGCCAAAACACTAGGCCGGCGGCGGTTAATTGCCAGCAAAAGACAATACCTGCTGCTGTGGACGTTGCTTTTGGCCCACCCACGAGTTCCAGGTACCAGTCGAAGGATTTTCGCATTCTGACGTCTGCCTGTGGTGTTGTAACAACAGACGCGCGTGTAACAGTTCGACCTGCTATTTGTGCTACATCCGCATACGAGGAGGGCTGTCCTGGTGGTGGTTGCGTTGCCGTGATCTGAGAGGGTTCGTCTGCTCCGATGGATGGTAAATCTTGTTCAAGTGTATCCAGAGACCTCAGCTCACTGACACGCCCATGTTCGAGCCACAGCACTCGGTCACATCGGCGGGCCAACCAAGCCTGGTTTGTTGCGATGAAGCGCGTTCTGTTTTCCAGCAAGCTGCAAATGCCGCCTTCGAACACAGCTTTTCCCGTTGCAGGGTCAAGATTACGGAGACAGTCGTCAATGAGGACAATGTCAGCATCTGAGTACATGGCTCGGGCCAGACTGACACGTTGAGCTTGTCCGCTTGAGAGACCTCGACCACCAGAGCCGATAATCGTGAGATCTCGATGGGGCATTCTATCGATATCGCCTAATAAAGCCGAAGCGCTGATCACTTTCCAATATCTAACCTCGTCGAACTTCTGGTCGAAGAGGATATTGCTGCGGATTGTTCCTCTCCTCATCCATGGCGTTTGGCTAGCCATGGCAACCATTGACCCGATGCCCAGTTCTAACCCGCCGGAATCAAGGCACATTTGGCCTGCGACCGCACAGAGGAGAGACGACTTACCAGATCCAGGGGTGCCACAGACAGCTACTCGCTCACCTCTTGCAACCTGAACCTTGGTATCAAATGCCAGGACGAAATCGTCATCCTCAGATGTAGCTGGCCAGCAAACCACTGTATCCTGGGCTACATCGACTGCCCAGTCTGCAGACTTTGCTATCGCTTCACTAGGCTCCTCCGTCTCTAACCACTGCTCAATCGCGCGGCATCCCACCAGCAAATCCTGTAACTGCACTGCGGCCTGCGCCGCGCGGTTTACATGCGGTTTGAGCGCTAAGAACAGAGCAAAGGACGAGAACGCCTTTGCTGGGTCGGGTACGCCCGCGTGGAACGTGTCATAGAGGGCGAGGCTCGCCATTGAGGCCAAGGTCGGCAACAGGGCGCATGCCGCTTCGAGAATGGCGCGGTTGTGCCATAATCGGCTTGCCGTCACCATCTCCACCACCCTCATCCCGCACAGCTTGTTTAAGACCATGGCCTGGGAAGCCCACCCCGCGAGTTTGATTCCGCGAATACCTTGGACCACTTGCTGTGTACAGGCTGCTCGTCGTCTGCAGAGTCCGCTGAGAGCCTTCTGCTCACCCCAGATGCGGAGAGCGACGCTGGTGAAGATGGGGAGGCCTAGAAGCAAGACCACTATGCCGCCTAGCGATGAAGTATCTACATTCGTGGCCAGCATGGGGATCGCGAGAACGAAGCTAGCCGGTACGGTCCAGATAGCGTTGATACCGCTGATGCAATCCTCTATGCGTGATGCTTCCACGGATGCCAGATTAAAGACGGCGCCGGAATTCCAGATTTGCTGCCTATCCCCTCTCTTTGACTTTTGGCCTCTTGAAGATGAGGTGATTGCGGAGGAAGAGGGCGGTGCGAGGAAGGCCTTGTCCATGATGATGTACGTGAGGGCAGCCTTTGCCTGGGCTCCGACACCTTCAAGCCTGTAGCGCGAGGCGTTAATGAGGATGCCAGCAGCCATCTGTGTAAGTGCCATGGCTGCAACGAGGGCGTAGCTGTGGGCAATCCGGGCGTCGTAGCCCTCCTGTTCATCTTGCAAAGTTCCGTTTGCTGATGAGGCTTTTGCGTCTTTGGTAGGCTCTGGTAAGGCTACGAGAAGCCAGCGCAGGATGATAGGCGGAAGGGCGGCTGTCAGCATAGCAGCTAGCTCGATAAAGCCTCCTAGCAGAAGCCCACCGCGGAGACATTTGAGAAGGCTGATGGCGAGTCGACGGCCTTGTGCTTGGGGATACGTCGGGGTGTCGTATAAACATCGAGAGAGCCCGCGGGCTAGGGGCTCTGCTTTCTTCCAGTCCGACAGCACGCCCTTGAAAGCAGTATCGACTTCTACAGGGCTTTCATCGATATCGTCGAATTCAATGATATCTTCTCCGTCTAGCTTCTTTGTACCAGGCGGCGGTGGCGGCGCCCAAGAGAACAGCATCAGGCTAATCACCCAACAGATACGGGACCACATTGTGAATTGAGGTGCATGTATCCCGTCGGAGAGTTCGAGCTCAACACGGCCCAGCTATTCACTCATTGACTTGGAGCATAAGAACAAAGACGATCCACAAATGTTGTTCGATAGGAACTTGACGAGATTTGCTTTACGGTTTCTCGTCAACCAGGAGCCCCAGAGATCTGGGGCCTTAATCAGGCGATAATGACTGAATCTGGAGAAGCCAAAGTGTCGATAGCGTCGGACTCGGGTTCAGCATTCACTGCGAGGTCAATGTAGGCCCGAGCCGGGGCGGCATCAGCCAAGCAAACTATACGATAGTTATGACTGTGGTTGACAGTAATATAAAAGACTTTGTTAGTCCATTGATTACCCCCCCCCCCCCCGGTCGGCCTGGCGGCATCTACACTAAGTGACAAGAACCTTATTTGAAAGCTCCACTGACCGTCGAATGTACCTGTGCAGGAAAGCTGAAGCGTCGGCCAGTCTGTCACGATGTCCACTCCTTGTTCGTGGGTCGGGGCTTAATAAGACTTCTGTGTCCTGAATCATGTGCTCTAGTCATGTCAGGAGAGTTTATTATGAGTTAATATAGAGCACTGCGGAAAGTAACATGCTCATACTTAGATTGAGTCGCGTAACGGGCAATTGGTACTGAAGCGAGAATCGGAGGAATAGCTATCCAAAGTCCGGGATGAACGGCCTTGAACCACTAAGTCAAAATACGCAGAACTTTCCATGTTAGTGGATTCCAAATTTCTCAACGACGCATTCATTGTAGATAGCCGTATTGCAATAGCAGAATGGTAGTTCCATCTACATCTCAATGATTATAAGGGATCTTGATTAGCTCTCACATCCTGCCCATTGCCCCAAACTCACTTGCAGAGGGCTTCTCCCGAAATAAACCTTGGACGCCCAAATTGTGAATCCATGGAAGTCGGATTTAAATCAGCGAGTTTACGGGCTCAAGAGGCCGGGCCTTGTAGCTATGGCGAGGTTACGGTTGAGGTACACGCTTGCCATACTTGTCCACAGGAATGTTCTCAGACCTGATCTTCTTGATGACACCCTTGATGGCGTCCCAGTCACGGCACGTATGCATTTCATGCTGGCCAACCAGCTTTGGTACAAAGTCATCATGACCTGGGTAGTGAATGAACTCAAACCGTTCCATATTCATGTTTCCGGCACACATGGTGGCCTAGGTACAGCTTGTCAGCCTGACATTTTATTGTAGGGCAGTTGTGGCTTTTTCTGGCCTCCAACGTTTATCTTACCTGACGAAGACTTTCGAGGCAGTGTTCAATGTGTTGGCGAGTGCAGACATCGTAGCCGCCGTCCAAGTCCAAAGCCAACTTCATGTAAGTGGTGCGGAAGCAAACCTGTTCACAAGCATGTGAGCTACGACTGCACGCTTTATCGTGGGACATCTTCTTTGGTGGAGTCATACCAGGCAATGCAGCTGATGGAAAACATTCCAGGCCACGGGCTGCAGACCCTCGGGTTGGAGAGCGTCTTTGTGGAAGTAGTCCGGCAGGCCATATTTGGACGGGTCATTCAGCGCAACGAAAGGCTTGCCGACTTCATTTCAAAAGGTCAGTCTTCGCTCGTGGCATGGAGATGGAAATCAAAGCCATCGAGCTTCGAAGTTTGGTGAATGAGTGGGTGGCATCGACTGAGACTTACATGAGATCAGATCAAGCCACTTCTGGTTCGCGCCTGGAGCCGTGAAGTTATAAGAAGAGTCGTGCTCGAATTTCTTCCGGACAAGTGGCACTGCGTAACTTTGGTCAGCTTCTCGATACGGCGGCAGTAGACTCATCACATACCATCGGTGATGAAAGGTGCCTCATCAATAGTGGCCATGCCAAGCCCGGTGGCAGAATCGACTTTTTTCGGCTCTGTGGCACACGAGGTCTGCTTGGAACCCAAGCTAAAGCCGTAGGTGCCCAGAAAAAAGCCAATTGCAACAGAAACAATACAGCACAAGAAGGTCGATACCATCAGCATGCGATAAGCAGAGTGCGTGAAGCGGTCAGGCGGGGCCGGCATTCTTGAGCTACCTTCGCCTTCAGACCCCTCTTCGCTCTGGTGCACCTCCGAATATTCTGTCTTGGTGTTGTTGAAAACCATGTCTGTCAACTAGCCGTCTTGACTGACGAAACCTCAAAAGTGAAAAAGGAACTGAGAAATACTGACGAAGTCAGCCACATAATCGGAGCCGACTGTCATATATGCAAATCATCGCTCACCTTTTGAAGTCTGGGGCAGATTAATCCCAGTCGACCGGCGGAGTCGGACTGTGGACTTTCTAACAGAGTTCTGCTCCATGCCGCTTCTTCTTCTTCTTCTTCTTCTCTGTACATATCTCAGAAACCTGCGTTATTGTACAGTACACAGTAGGCTACGCGAGGTGTTCGCTAAGTCTCTTCCCCCTGTCCCTGGTCCTAGAAGTCGGACATGCTGACACTGCTGAATAGCATGGATTACCAGCAGCTCGAGCCGTGTCGTTTGCATAGAGACACAATTGGTTGGACAACTTTTTAAAGTTAATGAAGCCGTTTTGACGACTGACGAGTCATTTGGGAAGAGCAGTATCCGTACTTCGCACCGAATCCGCGGATCCGACTGTGCGGGTCCGACCCTAGTTTAACTTTCCTTTACTCTACACTACTCAAGAACTTCCATGGATGTCATGGTTGCGAGACCGAGCCAGGGTATTCGGACTTGAATGTTACACGCTCAACGACGGAGTGAAGCTGGCCGAGGCCGAGATACAACAGAACGGGGTCAACCAAGATACACCGCCGCTTCCTCATGGGGAACATGCACTCGCTGCGAAATGACCGAGATCTAAGCACACCCTCCTGGCGTGGCAGTTGCCGGTAGACTGAGGAAAACCTGGTTGACTGAAGTTATCCACGATATGTGTATTTTTCGACTTTCTGCAGCTTCCTTCCCCGATGCCCAAGAATGCTTCGCGACATTGACTACTTTCTGAATTGACCGAATCGCTTGCAGCTGTGCCGGCGCACCTACCAAGCCATGTGCTCGACAGCAAATGCGATCCTCTACTTCGGGGATCAGTCTCCGGGCGTCAACACTTACAGCGAATCGCTGAGGTACCTGCGCCGGAGAGCCATATCTTCGTCGACACATCTGCACAGATTCTCAACGCAGTGGCTGACTGATGTGACGGGCGGGCAATACAATGTACTCGAGTGGGCAGAAATGGTCGCTTGCAATACTGCCTACCAGGCAGATCCGATGTCATCTGCCCTTGTGCCCTGTATATCACAGCTTGGCTCACTAATCTGGTCAGTTATACTTATGTTCTGAACGAACAATGCCTATCATGATCACCAGTACTGACGGATGGGGTATTTCTCCGATGATATGTAGGAAGTGCCAACAAGACCCAAGTATACTTCATGACACTCGCCCCAAGATTCTAGTGGGTGAATGCATCGGGCTCATCCTCGCATGCAGTGTTGGGGTGGCAAGAGATACGGCACACCTCGTCGATCTTACTCTGGAGATATTGAGAATAGTGAAGCGTATAACGGAATTTGCTACTCAACGGTCTCGGGAGTTGGAAGATCGTCCCGGCTCAGTCTGGGCTGTTGCAGTTCAGCTACCAAGACAAGACTGCATCGCCGCCATGGCGCATTGCGCAGACTATGAAGTAAGAGAATAGGTGTAGCTTTCGAAATCGTCTCAGTCCAATCACCATGGCAAGGAAAATATCGGCGAAGATCACTAAAAGCTAACACTATGCGCCATCAGAATATACCGGCTTACAAGAGAGCATATGTGAGCTATGAGCTGGAAGAGTGGTCTGTCATCTCAGGCCCGCCATCAACACTAAGTCAACTACGCCTGAAGACCTTCTGTGATACGCCGATAAAAGACCTGCCAATCTTTGCTGCGTATCATGCAGAACACCTTCGTGAATCAAGGTAAGGATGCGCGGCTCATTTCTCAAAGTGGCTACGATATGTGAGCGGGGACAACGTACTGATGACAACTCGTTCCAGTTATGAAGATATCCTAGGAGATTCTCCGCTTCTCGACTTGCCAATTCAATCTGATGTCACTATTCTCTCATCTAGCACCGGGGAAGTATTCAAAGGCAGCTCATTGCGGGCCATATTGCCGCAGGCACTCCGCGACATTCTACAGCGGCCTTCTTGTCCATCACGAGTAGCAAAAGAGATTGCACATCAAATCGAGCCAGTCAAATCTCTTCCAGATCTGTACGCTTTTAGTCCAGCGTCTCAGTGGAGTGCATTTGCCCGTCGCCTGAAGAATGTCGGGCTCGGTCTTGGTAGCATCTCTAGCCCCGCCCTTCTTGAACACCAACGGAAAGGCGACAACACCAGTGAATACAACCACGGTGGCAGTGATAGCGACGAAGAGGAGAGCGATGAAGAGAAATATGGCAATCTAATAGCGATAACCGGATACTCTGGTCGGTTTCCAGGGGCTGGAAGCGTAGACGAGCTGTGGGATGTACTTTGCGATGGCCGTGATACCTCGAGCCAAGTGAGTCAGGTCATGTTTAACACTTGTACTGGCCTGTTGCTGATTCATTATCTAGATGCCACGTGAAAGAATCTCTAGCACATATAGCGGTATCTTACCCACTGGATGCTTCATCGAACAAGCCGGACACTTTGACAGAAAGTTCTTCAACATGTCGGGCAGAGCAGCTTTGCAGACAGACCCATCACAGCGGCTTTTGCTCCTCACGACGCAGGAGGCCTTGGACATGTCAGGCTATAACAAAGATATCCATACACGGCATGTAGGCACGTTTGTCGGACAGGCTACCGATGACTGGCGCGAACATAACATGGCGCAGGACGATCCATACTACGTAACAGGGGGTCTGCGCGCTTTCGGGCCCGGCCGTCTGAATCACTTCTTTGGATGGGATGGCCCATCAGTCTCGGTAGACACGGCTTGCTCCTCTAGTGCCATGGCTCTCGATTTAGCCGTGCAATCTCTTCGGGGACGCAAGTGCAACATGGCTATTGCTGGCGGGGCCAGCATCATCTCGGGTCATGGTGATGCCGGCATGTACGCGGGTCTCCGTTGCGGCGGATTTCTGGGAGCTTCAAACACAGCCTGCAAGACCTTCGACGCTACAGCTGACGGCTACACGCGAGCTGAAGCAGTGGCCGTCGTCATTCTGAAGCGTTTGAGCGATGCAAGAAGAGATGGGGACATGGTTCATGGTGTCATTAGGGGCATCGTCACGAATCACTCGACGGACATGAATCCCATTACCCGCCCGTCTGCAGAAGCTCAGAAGTCCTTACTTCGTCGTGTTCTAAGCGAGTCGCTGAGACAACCCGAAGATGTGGCTTATGTCGAGCTACATGGATCCGGGACCCAGGCAGGCGATCTTGCAGAGGTTGAAGCCGTAGCGACTGTTCTTGGAGGTCCGCGTCGTCGCCCTAAGGGTTCACAAAACAAACCAGCCAGCGAACTACGAATCGGCAGCATCAAGGCCAACATTGGGCACAGCGAGGGTGCAGCGGGCATATCAGCTTTGGTCAAGACGCTGCTCATGATCCGCCATGACCGAGTTCCTCCACATATCGGGCTCAGGACGGAACTGAACCAGAATTTCCCTCCGCTGGGAGAGTTGGATATGGTCATCAACTCGAAACCTGAACCCTTGAAGCTACTCGAAAACCCTTCTAAACAACGTCAATACCCACCAGCTATCATACTCAACTGCTTTGGAGCAGCTGGTGGGAACACCAGTATACTTGTGGAGGGCTCGAAGAAACACTCAAAATCGACCAAACCCCACCAAAAGATCAATGGAACAAGACCACAGTACAGAATTGTTGTGGTTTCTGGCAAGAGCTATTCCGCTCTTCAAACCAACAAAATGAGACTCCTTCGATTCTTTGGGAAGGGCCCCTCTGCTTCGATTGATGATGTGTCTTACACCACATGTGAACGAAGAAGTCACTTTCCATACCGCGCCGCATACAGGGCTAGGAACACGACGGAGGTTATCAAACTTCTCCGTGACGACTCCAGATACACGAGTGAAGCATCGCCTCAGTTTCGACAAACCCCACAAGCGCCGCACATTGTCTTCGTGTTCTCTGGGCAGGGAGGGAAAGTTGCTGGGTCGGCTCAGTCGTTGTACGACAGCAACATCGCGTTTCGGGAAGCTTTGGACGACTACAGCCAACTCAGTGAGTCCCTAGGCTTCTCCGGGGTCTTGAATTATCTCGTTACCCCAGATACAGCACGAGCCTCGCCGAGCACCGTTTTAGAGCAGGTCGCACTCGTCGTGTTCGAGCTTGCTCTCAGCAAGATGTGGAAGAGTTGGGGCGTTCAGCCCGCGACTGTGCTTGGACATAGTCTGGGAGAGTATGCGGCTCTCCACTTGTCTGGCGTTCTCCCTGCAGCGGATGCCATTTGGCTCGTGGGCAAACGTGCAGGCTTAGTGCAAGAATCTTGCGAGCTTGATACCCACCGAATGCTGGCTGTGTTGGCCGAAGAGGAACAACTCACTCCGTTCCTAGGAGAGCACGCAGTCGAGGTTTCATGCAAGAATTCGCAAACACAGACTGTAGTTGGTGGGCCACTCGACAGTATCTTGCAGTTGCAAAGCCGTCTCAAGGCACATGGCATCAAAAGTGCCTTGGTCAAGACACCATACGCCTTCCACACGGGTCAGATGAACGGGATCCTAGAGAATCTGCTTGAAGTTAGTAAGCAAGCTTCTTTTTCCAGTCAACCACAGATCAACTTTGTGTCGACGGTGACAGGATCGTTGATTGATGCTTGCCCGTCATGGTCTGAGCATGTTACCAGACACGCCCGCCAATCTGTATTGTTTTCCGACGCCGTCGAGTCTGCGATGGCACTCAGTTCTGGTCGAAAAACCATGTTTCTGACTATTTCACCAACATCAATGTGCAGAGACATGACAGTGGCAAACATCGCCCCTGGGCAAGAAAGCGTGGCCGAGGTTCTCGAAGCTACGGGAACTGGAAGTCAGGGATGTCTTGAAGCTATTACCTCCAGCATGACTAGACTTTTCAATTCCGGGGTTGACGTTGACTGGAGCCGATATCATGGTTCGATGAAACAGAGCGGAAGCCTGGCAGAGCTACCATCCTACGGCTTTGAGCTGAAGAATTTCTGGATTCCCCTAGCAGAAAGTCGTCATCCCCTTTCATCATCACCATCATTATCGTCATCCTCCTCATCTACACAACCGGATACACCTATGTCTGAATGTACCCTCAACTTAGAAGACGACATACACGCTATGGAGAAACGTATTGTTACGAATCTCCAAAAAGAGCCGCTAAGAAGTCTCATACTTGGTCACGCAATCCGCAACAAGGCCATATGCCCGGCAGGCGTTCTGGTCGATATGGCCTTTGCCGCAGTGCTAGAAAGGACCGGCGAACGAGCGGGCCTCAAGTCCATCGGGCTAAGATCACTACACCTGATCGCCGCTATCACAATCGACATTGACATTGACACTACCAACAATCCAGTTCAGACTCTTGAGGCTACATTGGAAAAGCGGACTGCGGCCCCCGAATTCGCTGTTACTTTCAGCGGTGGCGAGCGTCAGACTCATCACGCAAGTTGCATTCTGCGAGTGATTGAAGACACCGATGGTATCAGAGGCGAGCACACGACTCGCTCTCTCATCCGGGCCGTCTCTCGTGTGAATCAGCTGCAGAGTAACACCGCCGCCAACCACTTCAATGGCCAGATGATTTATAAGATGTGGACGTCCGTCATGCAGTATTCTCCAGAATACCATGTTCTCCAGAACATCACGCTAGCACCTGTCGGTTATGAAGCTTGCGCGAAGCTTCAAACAAGATCAAGAGCGAGAGCCGGAAATCGGGAGTACGCGATCGACCCAGTCTGGTTAGACGGTGCCATGCAGGCCGCTGGCTTCACAGTGAACATAAATGTCGCTGCTGATCCCGGAGCGGTACATGTTCTCACCGAGTGTGCTGCTATCGATTTCTGGGAGCGTCCGCGAAGCAACAATATGTATGCTTGCCATGTCCACGGAGAATCAGACGGATCAGGCGATGTCATCATGAGCGTTAGGATATTCGACGAGGAGAACGACATGTGCCCGGTGGCAGCTATCAGTGGCATGCGTTTCCACAGACTGAAACAACGACCGGAAACCAAAAGCCAAAGTGGTAAAGGCTATGAGGACGCCACGACACGGATGAACAGGAGCGAGTCCAGCAATCAGGGCATCACATCTACGACGAGATTGTCAGATTCAGCCCACCATTCCCATCCAAAGAGCCTGATACTCGATAAGAGTGAGGCAGCCGCTGATGCAAGTGCGACGAGCTTGATACACGCACTCATCTCGATACTGGCCACAGAAACACACGCAGACCCTGATGAGATTGACCAGAATACTGCACTAGCCGACCTGGGTGTCGACTCCTTGGTGGCTCCTACCATAGCAGATACCATTCGAGTCAAGCTAGGCGTCGAGATACCATTGCTCGCTCTGTTAGAGGCACAAACTGTGATCGATGTTGCCTCACTCTGCGGGGAGATTGATCCCGCAAATGTAAGGCCTGGGCGCTTCGGAGCTGTCGCCCAGAAGCACAGCGCCACCACGGCAAATATCGCCCAGGGACCAGATACAACACGTCACTCTGTGATTGCTGAGCTTTCGAGTAGAGTTGTTCTCTTGCAAGGCTCCAGTCGATGCAAACACAACTTGTTCCTCCTTCCCGACGCCTCTGGAAGCAGCTCCGTGTACGCAGGGCTTCCACCGAACCTATCTCAACAGACCGACACGAGGGTCTACGGCCTCGAGTCCCCGTTTCATGGCATGAGTTCCATGCCCAATATCTCAATGAACATGTACTGTTCACTATTCGTCGAGGCAATTCTCCGTGTCCAACCAACGGGACCGTATCTGCTCGGTGGCTGGTCGATTGGAGGACGTCTTGCATACGAGTGCGCCAGACAGATCATACAATTGGGGCACAAAGTTTCGGGACTTCTCGTGATAGAGTCGTACGCGCAATTGACGCCTAATCTGTGTTCAGGTCCTGACGCGATCTCGGTTGGGCATCTCGAGGCAACGGGGTTCTTTGGATGGTCTGGAGGTCATGTTTCGTCAAGCATGGCTGAGTGGCAGAAGAACCACATGCTGCGCCTCATTCTCATGAACAGCGCCTATAAACTTCCACCTCTTTATGTGAACGAGGAGAAGAATACAGCGATATTCCAGTTAGTCTGGTCGTCAAAAGGTGACTTCTCGCTGTTCCCGACCAAGATTCTGCAAAAAGCGCAGGAGTGGAGCAATGGATCATCCGGCAATGCTATCAACGGTGCTCATATAGCATGGCTGAAGGAACCACGACCGGAAAGATCTATAGACCGGCTCACAGAAGAATGGCGAGATTTAGCAGGGCCACGAGTGAGGCGGCACATTGTTGAGGGGGAACACTTTGACATCATGATTCCCAGAGTGAATGAGGATCTAGCATATATCATGACAGAGGCCTTGAGATGCTTCTATGAGCCCTAGATATAGGGAGTGAAAGGAGAGGATCTGGTTCTATCTAGCTCGACAACTCACAGATTTAGATGTGATGGCTTTTGTTTGCCACTCGGAAGAGCTGTGTTGGCAATAATTCGTTACTTTGAAGACTCACTCTGCTGTCTCGCACCTCAGTTGCTCTCTCGGTGTTTACCCTGAATTGTTTATTCGCCTAAAGAGAGTCAGTCATAGAGCGAGAGAGATGGATACAGAGGACGACCAGGGGAGTAGGGGCGTGGATTACCTTCGGGACACGCCCTCATCCAGATCTCCCACCCGTAATCCTGGATGAGAAGTTACGAGTCAGCTCAGTCTGTGCCGATCTAAGTTTGTCCCCCTGGCTATAGTAGAAACCTAGTCCGCGAGCCCCGGTATATGACAGCTGGGCTTAGTTGTTCGTTTAGTTATGCTGGCTCGCTTATAAAGACTTAGAAGTGAGAAGCAAAACCTCGGCCGAGATGAGAGGCTCTAAGAGACCAACATACCAAAGCAACAAGAAGATGGCTGACGAGAGTAAAAACACGGGAGACAAGTCATCATTGAAAATGGAAACTTCAGAAAAACCTCGCCTCATAGACTCCGTCACTAAGACGAGAACACGCCCCATGAAGCTGCTGTTGCTCGGACTGCCACGGACGGCAACGGAATGTAAGTCATCCCATCAAAAACATGTTCATCCCATATCGCAACATCCTCAACTCCCACAAAATCCCCTAAAATACCATGCCGCCTTACTGACTTTAACCTAACAGCACTCAACAGCGCCCTCGAGCAACTCGGCTTCAGAGTCTTCTCCTTCCAAGCAATGTGGCCAACCTGGCAAGAGTCAATCCCGCTCTGGACGGAAGCCATCGAGGCAAAGTACCACGGCCGCTGCAAACCCTATGGCCGCGCGGAATTCGACAAGCTCCTGGGTGACTACGACGTCGTCAAATGCCCGCACGCTCTCCTCTTCGCCGAGGACCTCGCCGCCGCCTACCCAGAAGCCCGCATCATCGTCTCAAAGCGCGACTACGAGCCCTGGCGCGCGTCCATGGAGAAAACGGTCTTCAAGCTGCGCCGCTCCCTCGTCTTCCGTCTTCTGCACCCGCTCGACCCCTTCCGCGCCGCGTGGTGGCCGTTCTTGCGGCTCATCATGGACACGGCGTACGGCGGGTGGGCCGAGGCGGTACCGGGGCGTAGGCCCTACGACGAGCACCACGCCCGTGTCGAAGCCATCACGCGAGAGGCGCCGGAGAGGTTGCTCGTCTTCTCCGGGCCCAAGGATGGGTGGGTGCCGCTGTGTGACTTTCTCGGTTTGCCAGTGCCGGAGACGCCCTACCCGTGGACGAATTCGGGGGCAGACTTTTTTGAGAAGCAAGGCCACCGCGCGGGCGAGAGGCTGTTGCTGCGCAAGCTGGCTGAGAGAGTGGCGGTCGTTGCAGGGGTTGGATTAAGCGTGTATTGGTTCCTGCGACGTCCATAGATTCAAATGGTTGGATGTCGACTTTGTTCTCGTCCTCATCTTACGTGGCTACTAATTCATTTCGACCTGTCTCTTTTCGCGCTGTCACTTATTCTCAGCACTCGAGTCGGGTTCCCGTCTTGGTACGTAGTACCCGAGAAGCCGACGCCTATTGTTAGCAGACCTGCGACTGAATGACCTCGGGACTCTGAGTAGCCCCAAAATCTTCCGTTCAGTTTCTTCGAAGCCAAGATGAGTCGAACTTCTCAAACGGTGAAACAGTCGTACTTGATGAAGGAGCCACGTGTTAGCGCATCATTCGAAACATGAATATCTCATCGTGGTCTTCTACATCTGTAGCATGGCCATCTCGATTCCGAGATACACCACTCACCGTAGACTCGGACCTCTAGGATGCCAATATTACCGCATCAATGCTTTGCAGATCCAGTCGGAGTATCAGACGGATCCAAAGGAGCGGTAATACATCAGTGCCAATCAGTCGCGAGACCAACGAATCTGTACGACTCGGGACTCTCTTGGAGTGGCAACTGTTGTTACTTAGTTTTCACTCGGCCGTAGTTACGGCTTCAGATGTGACAATCAGTGTGGCTATGCCCATGATTGGTTTACCATGGTCATTCTCGGCCATCCTATCAGAACTGCTTGTCGACTTGGTGCTGTGCCCCCTACCTGTAACAGGGTATTTGGCTGGCTCAGGTCTCCGGGATGAATGCGTTCCTGACATACTGTGCTCTCTCACCTGCTGTAGCTGACGCCTGGCTCACTCGTCGTTTTCGCAGAATAGACGAAAGATACGCTCTCTTACTATAGCCAAGGATATGGCTGGTGATGAGTCTTGAAGTCGCACAAACTCTTACGCCCACTGGCCCAAGCATGGCCATGTTAGCTGGACATACAGACGAGCAGGGGCTTGCGACACACTTATCAATAGTGTTGTACGGGTACTTTCTCTCGTGACGCACAGCAGTGAAGTAAGAAGTGAATGGGCATGGGCATGAGATTTCCCATAAGGCTACATTGAGGTTGACAGTGCACTGCCGAAGTTTCTGTGCAGTTGACAGCCGGAAAGTGTATGATGCCATGGCCTGAGGTTTAGACATGCTCCGTATTGTCTCGCCGCTTGGATAGTCCGGTCCTATCGCGTCTTCACATCCCGTAGGCTAGGCCGAGTCATGCTGTAAATATATTGGAGGCGCGCAGATGCGTAGCGGAAGAAAGTCGTTGGTTGTCTCGTTCGCAGTGAGACAGTGTGGAGGGCTCGGGGAAAAGGGACTTTTTCCTTCCTTCTCCGTTTTCTTGACTTTGAGACCTGCAGGAGGCTTCGCAACTGAAGCTCGATCCAGACCTAGATTTTGCGGTATTACTCTGTCTATCATCTCTCCGTCTCTCGACAATGTCTCGATCATGATCTTTTTCTCTGTGTCGGTCTCTCCCATTGCATGGGGCCAAGAACCAAAAGGACCGCGATGACTGGGGTCCCGTTGGTTCTCCCGCTCACCGAGATGAGATGTTTGCCTGCAATGAGCGACGCCACCACGGGTAAGGACTGGGAATGAGAGAGGGGGTCGTTGGAAGGAGGCTTGTTAGAAAACATCGTGAATGATGAGGTGCTGCGAATCGTCTCCGGGAGAGGGGAGGCAGGAAGAAAACGGAGGATAGGACGGCAGGGAAGTCACGCGGCAAGAGTGTTATGTGCATGGTAATCTCCATTTGTAATTTGGATTCTCCTGATACAGGAGTATCGTCGAAGACATGCATGGTGATCATTCGAAGACGCGCTCTGCGATGTAACGGGAGAAAAGAGAAATTAACAACATGCAGCTTTCCTGACGCGGATTTAACCGGTATCGTATCAACGAAAGCTTTCACGATAATCGTCGTCGATTGTAAGGCCACCTACCTTCGGCATTCAAAGTTTGGGCAAGCTGTCACAGAGAGTACAACGAGGTCAGATGACCCTTTTCGGCGATGGCGTTCAATGCCGCTGGTCGAGGGAAAGGATGGGTGGCACGAGCAGGAAATCGGCCGAGGATATGATCGGATGGGTCGGAAACATCGGGCCTTGTATAGAAAGGTAAGGATTCTGCTCTGGTTTTTCGGTGTTTGTAACGCTTCGGCGCTCGTTTCTTGACGATCGCTCTTGACATTCTAAGGTGCTTCATGTACTACTGTAGATTGAAGTGCTGTATCTGTCGACGAGACCTCGATGATTCCCTATGTGGTGGGTGAAGCATCATGCCGCGGTGGATGGGTTACAGCACCCAAAACTAGAAAGTTTCGATTACGGGACGCCAACATCGTGAGTCTAGGTTCTCTGTTGTGTTTTGGCGTTTCGCGGGCATACCACTTCGTCCTGAAGAACTCGCGTTACGCAGACTTAAGCTCGGATATAATGGGAGAAAGCAATGCGGGAGCATGCGTGTGTCGTGCCCAACATGTGGTTGTCATGACTTTCGTCGGGCATGGGCCGTGCCGCAGGGTGTCGCTTGACGATACAACGAGGCAAGTGATGAGAGGAGGAATATCCACGTAGACTCGGTGATTTGGAAGATTCCACGGAATTCCTGAATGCTTTGTCTGACGAAGAAGCCGTCATTCGGTCGCACTATCAGGGGCGAGTAGAGAAGTTTGGAGACACCGAAGGAAATGATATCTCTCAAACGCATGATAGCCCGCGCAGCATGGACAGGTTGCATCGAATACCGTCTGGTTCTTCTCCCCTCTGCTTGAAGGTCTAATGGAAACCTCCGCACTGCATGGGTCTGTATATCTGCAGCTTTCCAAGGCTCCCTCGAGGTGCCGGTGTGCGTCTGTGTGGGAGGATTGACAAGGGTCGACGCGGGTAGCCGCAGTCGTCGGTCGAGACTGGGAAGGTGATTGCAGGGACAGCTGGCAGCCCAAGAGGAATCAGACCAGAGTCCGAGGCAGGTAAAGCCGAATGGAGAAAGAGACGCGCATATTGTCCTTTGAGAATAATGATTCGGGCTCTATCTCAAAAACGATAATCTGGAGATCGTCTTCAGCTGAACGTAACTAGACGAGAGATCGTGGGGCAGCAAGATCGGTTCAAGGTTCGACGCAAGGAACACGGGCGCCGGGGAGCACATGAGGCTGCTCATACCACGGCATCGGCGAGGGTCGTAGTTACAGGAAAGTGTAAGCCCTGTATTTCTGTGCGGCTGACGTCAATATCAGATCCAACATTTTGCCGAGACAGCTTGCCCCTCCAAAGACGGCTCGAAGAATATGCATGCCTACTTGCCCAAAAGGGAGAACAAGGCGACATATGAAGTATCACCCACCACTGTCTCCTTATTCGCTAGTTCGCGGCATGAAACGAGGCAACCGCGAAAGAAGAAGTCGAGAGCAATGCATGGGTCACAAGACTCGGCCAGCTGTCCTCTCTGGTGATGTCTTGGCCGGCGTTGAAGGCCCGGGAGACGATAATGCTCTCCAGACCGGCTGCTGGTCAAAGGCGGTGAGGCAAACCGACACACAAGAAGGATCTGATGTTGGTGGATCTTCGTGAGTGCGATGACTTTCATGGTGTTGAGGGGAGGTTGGTCCTCCAAGTGTCGTGATGGAGAAAAGTATAAATCTCAGCAACTCCCGCCGTCACCAGGCTTTCTTCCCATTTGTCTCTCAGGCACCCTGCGACGCACTTTCCTCTCTCTCTCTCTCTCTCTCTCTCTCTCTCTCTCTCTCTCTCTCTCTCTCTCACGATCTTCATCTAAAGCAAAGCACCCATCACATCTGGGAACGACACCTAAACTCTTCTTCTATCAGCAACATTATCATATCTTACTGAATCATCATGAACCGTGGGAACACGACCTCGTCATCTGCCATAGCGGACAATGAAAATGAAACCTGCGGCTGCATTGATGATGGCTACTCTGGCAGGTGGGACTTTAGAACCTGCACTCATTGTGGTGGGCACGAAAGGTGAGGCAATCCCCAACTGAGAGTCAGTCGGACTCTACTTTGACGCTTGTTACGCAGAAACCCTTGCAAAACCTGCGACTCCCGAGGTGTTGTCAGAGTCCCCTGCCCTCACGGAGCTGCTGGTCAAGCTCAAGCTCTGAGCTCTCGGCCAAGGGCCGATGATCAGAACAACAAGCCGGGACCCAAGGGACCGACGGGACCGACAGGCCCGGGCCAAGGTGTCGCTGGTGCCGGCTGCCACTAAATCACGGCAGCCGACGCCATCATATGGTTTCCCGAGGGGAACAACCTGATGGACTTCATGTAAATGTAATAGAACGGTTCATTTTTCCTTGAGGCTTGGTTCGGGCTTGGGCTTCGTATAGGTATAGGATATAGGGTATAGGGCGTTGGTGTCATTGGCGGACGGCTCATCCCAGTTCCACTGCGTTAAGCACCGCGTTCGTCGGGAGTCTAGGCAACAAGTAGCACGCCAAGGTCAGTAGAATCCTGGAATAGTCGTATCTGAGATCGGATAGAGGGATAGAAGAACTTGAAAGGAAAAACGACTTTTGCCTCAATGCTATATGTGTTCTTTTTAGATATCGAGTGTCTCTTGGCGGGGTTACTTACGCCCACTTTCTTCGCTGCCACAGCTAGACGACGACATGGACCGAACAGTTGGTTCCGAACCGAACCTACATTGGCAGCAGCAAATGCCGAATTCTTTCCCTGCCTATGTCCCCTTCGCTTATCCAGAGGAACGGAACCACTCAAGCACGTCCGTCGTGGCTGCAAGGACGACCGACGGGAAACACAAAGAGAGGATCCCGCTCAACCCTACGAGGTAGCGTGGCATCAGCCGGTCGTGTACCGCCGCGGAAGGCTACCCGGTCATTGCTACTGGAGCGACATCGAAAGGCAGTGATCACGCGAAAGGAGCCGACCTCGACACACGATACCATACAATCATCGATTACGTTACAGACAAGTAAGCACCTTGAACGGAAATCGTACCACCCCCCTTCTCTCCTTGTAGGAACCTGTGAATTCGTTTCCGCGGGTCGGACAGACTCATAGCAGAGCTCGAAGCCCGTCTTCTGGGTACTGATGAAAGAACTGAGCATGTATACGTACTCTGAGAACTAGGGTTGAGTTGCACAACAGCAATAGCATGACCTGACGCGAAGCAGACGCCTTCAGTGTACCTAGTCCACACTACTGTGAACCTCAAAGGCTCACTGAGAAAGGATCATTGCACCGTTATTGGTTGTGGGTGAATTATTTGCAACCTAGATCAATTATCGAGAAGAGTTCCACATAGTTATTAAAGAGATATCCAAGACTGCTACTAAGACGAGTAGGATGTCACCTGTAAAAGTCCAGCATGGCATAGAATGAGCACCTACTACATATTTGCACAGGTGTGCCGTATACTAAACGATGCCCTTCCTTCCGCGATCTCACCAAACCTCAAGCAACCTCCGAAGAAAAAAGACTTAACGGAACAGTTCAGCTTCAATCTGCCGGGTGAGATGCTCTTGGGATACGCCAACCCTAGAACATGACGAATACCCAGGGGATCTGTGGCCTTCTGGCAATAGTTTGTTTCACCTCTGAAATCAGAGACAATGTGTATCCCATATCGGCGTAAGGTATCATCAGAAGCTTGAATTCGCAAAGGAAAAAAGCCGTTACCTAAGCATTGACTGCCATGGACTAAAACGATAACTATCGTAGGAAAAAGCCATGATAGAAACAGAGAAGCGAAGAACTAGCAGCCTAGTAATGTCATAACCCTCCAGGTAAGAAAACCTGCCCCGCCAGTACTGATCGAGTTGTCCTCCTCGGCCGACCCTCCTAATCGAAGCATCATCAAATTTGAATCGTTCCATCCCCTCACTTCCTTATTCGCATTCCAGACCCCTGAAGCTCTCAACGCCGCGACCAATAGTCTGTCGGGTAGACACAAATGGTCGAGTCCATTCTGATCCAGTTCCCTCCCATGAAATCAAACCAATCCATAAGTCGAAGATGAAGATGAAGAACGCCCACTTCAAGTCATCAAAGAGCAGGGGCGGTTGCAGCAAGTGCTGTTACGACACCTGCCGCAGTCAACACGCCGCCACCGACGAAGTACCCAGCCTTGCTCAAGAAGCTTCGCAGACGCTTGGGGGCAGGAGGTGCTTCTGGTGTCGGCTCAGTGACCACAGAAACAATCGTAGGCTCTACGGCCGTTGTTCGCGCCCCGGTTGCATCGCTTTTCACGGCCGCCTCGAACGTCTCCTCATGAGGCGTGAGCGTTGCGATCTCACTTGCCTTACGCTTTAGAGTGGTCCTCTGCCCGGTAGGGGCATTCAATGAACCCAATTTGCTCTGCTGAAACTGATACGCACTGGTCATATCAAGCTCAGGAGTTTCCGTTGTGTGTGTAATAGGGAAGTCTTGAGGACTATTGAGGAATCTCTCTCCAGAACTAGACCAGGCCGACTCAGCTACTTTGGCCGACTTGGGCGTTTCATTGACCGGCTCCGGCTCCGGCGCGGGAGCTGCATCGGAGGTAGTGTGGTGCCCGAGCTTTGAAGTAGATGGCTCGGTGGAAGTCGCAGGCGGCTCGGGAACCTGGCTGCGAGGTTGGACCGGGGTCGTACTGTTTTGCTCTTGGCGGCGCAAGATTTGTTTATTGGCCTCCCTGGCCGCAAAGAACTCGGGCTTTCCGCTGGCTTGGCCGAGGGCTTCAGCTGATACATCGTCCTGGGCGAGCGCTAGAGACTCCGTGACAGTAACACCCTTGGGAGTCTCTGAGACCCGTTCCCATGAAGCACGAAGTGGTGCTACTCCTTCGCTTTGAAGAAGGTGATATGTCGGTGCAGATGCGTGCATTTGCTCGGGGTTCATGCTAGCTAAGAACGGATTCTCAACTTGATCATCTGAAGGATTCAATATCGCCGGCAGTCTGAGGTCGTTCTGTCGTCCTTGTTCTTGCAAACCTTCGTAAGGTATGATAGAAGGGAGTGACGGCATGGGGGCGGGAAAAAACTGGCGACCAGTATCGGGCTGAGGGAAGTAGTTTGTGTGAGGAATGCTGAGCATTTGTTGCGATTGCGTGAAGGTAAGAGAAGGGTCCTGGACTTCCCAAGTGGCTGCCTCGTCATAGCTTGGAGCTTCAACCAGGTTCTCATCCTCGCTCTCGCTCTCAAAGGAGTTTTCGGCCTCCACATCATCACTTCGATCAGACTCTTCCGAGTCGCTCAAGCAAATTTCATCGTCGTAAGGGTCTAGCATTTCCTGACTTGAAGGTTCATCATCAGGATAGCTTTCAGACTCGTCATTATCGTAGGAGTCTTCTGATTCTGATTCCGAAGCAAACAAGAGAGGGAGCTTCGAGTTCCCACGACAGGATGGCACGTCCTCGTCTTCTTTATCTTCTTCATCATGCGGAGCATCCAGCTCGATCGTTACCTCGGGTTCTTGCGTAGCGTTAGGAGCGCGTTCGGGGGGCTTATCTGTATCCTTCTGGATATCTTCGTCGACTGTCAGGTCAATTGAGACCTGTGGTAGGAGGCTGGGGAAGGAACCACCCAAGCCCATGGTCGATTTAGGCATCTCAATCTTCCGAATCTTCTCGACAGTGGCGCGGATATCGTCCGTGGTAGACATGTCTTCGTCGCTGCTCTCTGAGTCGGAATCATCGGGGACGGAAAAGGTTGGGCGACCGCTGAGTCCTGCAACCTTTTCTTTGGCGAGGTGGTCGAACTCCCAGTCCACCTGAATGGTACACGGCGGAAAGAGGTCGTTGGATCGTTGAATATCGATACCAAACTTGAGAATATCGCCCGTTTTCATCTCTTTCGCGCTATGCGGAGGCAGCTTCAGAGAGTTATGATAGGTTCCGTGCAGCGAGCCGATGTCTTTAATGAATAGTCTCTTATCGTTGTGTTAGCAGTCAGCGAAAAGATAGTTCAAGCAGACCATATACCTTGTGGTACCAATCAATCGTGATCTTGGCGTGCTCCCGAGACATCACCGGGCTGTCGAAAAAACAGTTATCCGCCTTGGCCTCCAGATTGCTGAATCTTTTGCTCGTGCGACCGATGTTCACAACGCTTGGATGCTTCTGTTCGAGTATAACCCGTCGCTCTGGGAACTGGAACTCGGGGCTAGGGTGTTGGACGGAAACGGTGAGCAGAACTAGACCATGATTTCGTTAGGACTGATCATAAAGAAGGTAAAGCGAAATGGGAGTGACGAGCTTACCGTCCTCCGCTTGAGGCTTCACGCCCGTCGCCATCTTGTCTGTTTCTTCTCGACTGTATCCGTGATCTGGCGAGAGTGGGTTGAAGTAGAGAACGAGGGCAACGAGGAGCTCACGGGAGCGATGGATTTTGTGATGGAAGATGGGGGTTTGTATTGGTAGCCCAAGATCTTGCTGTGAAGGAGGGAAAAGTGACTCAAGTAAGGCCTCTCCAAGGTTCGCGGGCTGAAGTTAACAAGCGGGCTTGGAGTAGGCGTAGGCGGGAGGAGGGAGACAGAAAGGTAAGGCAGGAGCGAGACAGTGTAAGTTGGAAGTCGAGGTCGCCGAGGTGGATGCAGTGGGGCAGGAATCCGGAGGTGGCACCGTATAGGTTGTCACTGTTCGGTATCAGGCAGTCGCGGCAGTGCAGGCAGCGATAACGCCTTATCGCACTTGGCTTGGTGCGCGGAAGGGGCAGGTTGCAGGGGGAATGTCGGGGGTCTTGGGCAGGTGCAGTGGGGAAAGGCGTCTGGTACCTTAGTGAGGTGGGTTGGTGGGGTTATCAGCAGCGAGGTTTGTGAGGTCCGAACAGTCCCGGCACGTCCACTTACCTCGATAGCGGAGGTAAGGTAGGAAGTGTGGAAGTGTGGAAGCGTAGTGTCGAAGCTGATAAGGATGGAGAGTGAGGTGGAGGGGTACCTTAGGTATGGAAGTAAGAGTGATCGAAGTGAAGGAAGGGTGAAGCTGGGAAGTGAGAGAGAGCACAAGGTCTGCCTGCGAACAATGAGATTGATGGCTCGAGTTACGGTCGTTCCAAACGAGAGGAAGGTAAGACCACCTCCTCAGTCGTTCCTGCCTGGGCTGCCGAAATTCGAACGTAGGTATTCGGGCAGCTTAAGACCGATAATCAGTACCTTGGTGTGCTTGGTGAACCTGACTGTGAGTTGCGTTGCCTCGAATGGTCCGCCAGAGATGCACAGTGCGTGTCTGAGATCAGGCTCGGGGCGTTCCAATTTAGTGATGACGGGATTAGGAAAGAGGGGCACACCTTAGACCTCACCACATGGCACCTGACAGCTGGAATGCGAAGGAGACCAGCGGGGTTAGCAGATGTACCTTCCCGCTGCCTTCCCTCAGATTCTCGAGACACCTTCCAGGTTAGAAAGAAGTAAAAGGCATCGCAGAATTTGGATTTCATCTCTGCATAAATCTAGGTCAGTCATAAGCAGTCTCGTAGCGATAGACTGCGCGGCATACCTACCGTAGAGCGCTCTCCAACGGCCAAGGTCCCGTGGTTTGTCAAGGTTGTACCAACCAATATTGAGGAAGGCCCGGTCTGGTGTGGTGTAAGTAGCTATCCACGCTTGTGACTCTCATGGCTTTCTGATCAACCCGGTCGAACACCTCGCTTGAGGAAAGCCATCTCGGCCTCTTGTCACTCTGGTAAATTAGCTATACTCAAACTCGGGTTTGTTGTTAAGTTGGGCGGGCCAGCTACTACCGTCCACGTCGCCGAGCCCAATCTGTGCAAGTGCGCGCTTCTCTATTATGCTTTGCAGAATTCCCAAGGTATCTGTCTACCTTACCTTATCCGTACCTAGGTACCTTACCCTCACCCTTGCATGTCTTTTGGCCTCAGGAAGCACCTGACAGACCTCAAGGTGCCAACTCGGGGATTATAACTATCATACTGCGCTTTTCAAAGTGAATTTTCTCAGCAATACATAAAAGATGATAAACATGAATAGTGAATGTACCTTGGCAGCAGTAGTGTTGAGTGACGGATGATGTGCATTGCTTCACGGTTTGCTCGAGGCAGACGATACAGTCCTGCTTCCGCCTGAGGCCTACTGGTCATGTACCTAACGCATGACAGTATTGTTGTCCTGCCTTATCGAAATAATGTCTGACCATAAGGTAGGGGCAGATCGGGTTGCATCTGCTCATCTGTCACCGGGTGCCCTGAGTTGTCGCAAACTGTCACTGGTTCCCTTCATGCCCATCTCTAACAAAAGTCATAGGGACGAGTTGAGATCCTGACGAATCTGGTTAGGCGGCGGATGAGAGACCAGGGATGGGGGGATTCACTGGCGCCGCCCGTGAATGTCTAGACTTAGAAACGGTCAGATGATGCCGGCTGGATTCACATCGCCTTGCCTGTATCCGTACCTGTTTCCCATCCATCTCACAATCCCAAATGACCCCATGTTCCCCCCATACGCAGTAGGTACCTCCCTACCTAAGGCAAGCAACAAGCTACCTTACATTCATTCATGGCTTTCTTTCTCCCTCGAATGCGGAACACTACGGTTCAACGGGCAGAAGTTCAAAAGTGAGTGGAGGAGCACACTCCGTCCGCAACCAAGGACGGGGGATGATCTGCTTACAGGGGTACCTCCCAGGAATGCGCGAGCTGACAGACCACGCCCACTTTGCCCCCACAGGAAGACATCATCCTGGAGTCCTTGACCTCGGGCGTGTGGAGTGACAGAAGTTGACTGATGTATCCTTACGCGGTACGCAGTAATACGCAGTATGTGAGAAATGGAGGGGCAAAAATGCGCCTGATGTCTGGACTTTTGTTTGCCGGATGTTTTGCTGCCGCCGCCGCCGTTCCTGTCCATCCTGCTGCTTTGTCCCCGAGCTCAACCTTGCATCTAGCTGCGTGTCTCGCCCTACACACGATTGAAAAGTCTCTTTCGTCATTCGTCGTCCACAACGCTCGCTCGCTCTTTTTGTTTGCGATCCCTGTGCGACACCCGACAGGCATCCTAGGTGAATCAAGGGTTCCCCTCTGATGAAATGTGAATGCCACCCTCTTCTTCTATCGCTACCACCCACCACCTTCACCACTCTTCTCCGACCCTCCACAACTTATTTTTTTTCCACCGTTGCCCTAAAAACCCCCAAGCTCCTCCTCACTTTCGAAAAGACGGTCTGGTCTGGTGACTCACGAAGCCCATCTTTCAGTTTCCAGTTTCCGCGGGTTCATTTGAACTCTCTCAAATACTCGTCTAGCCGCTGGATAATCACCAACCTGTACGGTTTCAAACCTATCTCCGGAACTTCAACGCACTCACCCTTGCGTCTCGACCTATCTCCGGATTTCCTCCCTGACATATATATATAGAGAAACCGAATACCCCATGGATTGTTGGAGAAAGACGCAAAACACAATTAGAAGCAACACCATCTTCAAAGAAACGCCACCGCGCTACAAGCACAGAAGGTCCTAGACCCTGGTTCTCACAAATCAGGCAACCCATACATATACAGGTCTTCTCCCACGAGAAGTTCCGCTCACAGCAACTCTCTCCTCTCTCTACGCTCTACACACCACTCTTACACACACGTTCCATCGTACACCGTCGCCACTATGCACGACCTCAGACTCAAGGTTCTTCGCGAGAGCGGCAAGACCGTCTCCAAGAAGGCCAAATCACGCCCCGAGTCCGCTCGCGCCTCCATGAGAAACTCGCCCAACGTCTCTCCTGGCCATTCTCAGATCAACTCTCCAGCACATTCGCGCGCTGGCAGTCGCTATGCCTCAGAAGACGAAGGCAGCGACTCCGACTACGACGATGGCATGACCATGAGCACCCTATCAAATCACTCAGATACCGCTTTGGACGAGGCAACAGAACCCAACTGGGCGCAATTACTACAGGATCGCATCGTCGAGCTGCAAGATCGCAAGCGGACAAACACCCAGAGACGCGAGGCGACCCTGATGTCCTACCTGCACCTTGTCAAACACCACTATGGCGGCCGTCAAGTCAGCAACTCCTTACAAGATATCGTCACGGCGTTGATGAAGAACACCAAGTCTGGAGGCAGCTCCCTTGAGCGCCTCATGTCCTTGAAGTCTCTCTCAGCCACCCTTCTCACTACGCCATCAGACGCACTGTTCGACGACATCTACCCGCAACTCGAGAAGACCCTCGAAGACGACGACGACAAGGATGTTAAGGCAGCCGCTATCTGGGCCATGGCGGTCACAACAATGTACGGCGGTGGCGGCGAAGAGTCAGCAAGCGAGCTCCTCGAATACCTAGTCACCATTGTGGAATCCGACGGCGAGGCAGTCGGCGCAGCAGACAGCGGCGACGTCGTCACCTCCGCCCTCGAGGCCTGGGCCTTTGTCGCCAGCCAAGTAGACGACATCACCGAAAACGTCTACTCTGCCATCGAAGCCTTTGTGGAACAACTCGACAGCACTGACGTCGAGGTCCAAGCGAGCGCGGGCTTCAACATCGCCTTCATCTTCGAGGCGGCGCGCGACCACGAGGAGGAGACGGGCGAGCCCATGAACCTCCAGTACGACCCCAAGAAGCTCATCGCCCTCATGGCCGAGGCATCCAAGCCCTCGGTCAAGCAGACGGCGCGCAGAGACAGACGACACCTGCGCAAGCAATTCGCCAGCATCGTCTCGTCCCTGGAACACGGAAAGGGACCGGGCTACTCGAGCGCGAGCCGTCCGGCCTTTAACCCGCACACGGGCGGCACCAAGGCCGATCCCGGCGCGGGCCGCAGGGGCGACGACGACGACGGCGAGAACCGCGCGTTCGGGTACCGCGAGAAGCTCCGCCTCGGTTCCACAGTCGTCCTCATCGACTCGTGGTCTCTAATGGCACGCGTCGAAGCGACGAAAATCATCCTCGGCGGCGGACTGCCTACGCACTTCAGCGACAACCCGACTGTCGCGGAGCTGTTGGATAACGCCGAGACGGAGGAGGCGGCGGCACAGCTGTACGCGGTGCGTCCCAACAAGAGTGCGAAGCACATGAGGAGGTAGAAGGGTATTGTTTGCTTTTAAGCAACGACAGAGGAAGTGGGATCGCTCTTGAGCAGCGACTGGGAAGGTGTGGGAGAAATGGAAGGGAATAGGGCGTCTGCTTTTGGAGCAGCATTCATTGGTGGAGAGAATTGCATTGGCATGCTTCTTTCCTGTGTACAGGTTCACGATAGAGCATCACGGTCCAACAAAAAAAAAAAAAGGGATACGAATCGCATGGTTTGAGGCATTACCTTACCTATCGCGAAACGAGGCAGAAGAT